AGCTGTTGTATACACATTATTTATTCATCCAAATGGAAGATTTGCATAGTAGCTGAATAAAGATCTATAAATTATTTCAGTCGCTGAAATTATTCTACAATCAAAAACATTGTAAATGTTATTATATAGGCAATAAATGAAGTCTTCATCCTTTATATAGTGCATTTTCTTTAAAAATACAACTTTTTGTGGGCTTTTGGTGATAAGCAAGTCACTAAACATTTTCAAGGAATTAAGGAAAGAGACTGTAATAAAATAATCAGAAAGTTTTACTTAAAAATGATCTGATTAGAATGTAGAATTATCTTCAGAAGCATTCTATACAGCCATCAATGTTTTAGATAAACTACTTTATCAAATAGTGACAATAAGTCGTTTAATAAACAGCCAACACTAAACCCCTGCCTGGCTTTGGAGCAGCTGAATGCTTTCAGACCCTGCTGAAACCCATCCCTGTGGATTCTGTGGACAGTGATTCTGCTTCTCTCTTTATATTTTGCTCCCTGCTGTGTGATCAGCTGTTCCTAGACCTGGCTGCTGGGACAGCTTTGTTCTCCTAGGAATGGCAGGGTGGAGACCTGGGCTTTAGCTCAGGCAGAGAGTTGCCACATGGCCTTCTCTGTTCCCATTGTATCTTCCACCCCGATTTTGGAGGATGGTGAGTATTCCAGACTTTAAGTTGGCCATCCCCAAGGTCTTGCATCCAGAGATTTCCTACTCCACACCATAGACTATGACATTAAGGAAAGTCAGAGACAATGAGACCACATCAACCTAGAATCAATGAAAGAATAATAGTAATTTTGCTTTAAGTGTTGGCAAAAGTTGGGTGCTTTCAGTTTCATTGAAAAGTGAAAAAAAAAAGGCTGGATTAAAGCAGGTAAGTATAATAATACAGTAATTTACCTACGTGAAGGAGAAGGAATGACTTAACTCCTAAAGTGAATGGAATAGAAATAGAATCAGTGTTTTCAATCTAAAAATAGGTCCAGAGTTCTTATGAATCCCTGTCAGAGATTCCCCTTAAGCAAGACTGTGCCCATATTCCAGTAGTTTTCTACCTAACCCTGCTTGGCCTTGGGTCTAAGAATCCAAAGTAAATTGTTATTAATTATTTTAGAGTTTACAAACTACCTTTATATTTACTATTTCTTTTGATTCTTATAATAACCATGGGTGGTGTGTACCATGCTTAGCATAAAACACAATATATATCATGTACATAATAGAGGAGAGAATGTACATTATCATTGGAACTCTGTTTCTCTAGAAAAGTTGAAATAAGCTTTCTCCAGCAACAGGGGTCATGATTCCCAGTAGCTTTGGAACTGTGCCATCAAAGTTTCCTTTTCTTAGCACCAATTTGAAAAATCCTAGGGCAGGACTTTTGTCCTACTTACATCAAATCTTCATCCCACTAATCATTGTGTGTTGGAAGGGCAAGGTCATGTAGAAAGACAACAGTTTCTATTAGGAACCAATGAAAATTGTAAGAGGCTTCTTTTGGTTCATTTGGGATGCTATAACAGAATACCATAGATGGGGTGGCTCATAAACAGAAATTGATTTCTCATAGTTCTAGAGGCTGGAAGGATAATATCGAGGTCCTGGCAGATTTGATGTCTGGTGAGGGCCTAGTTCCTGGTTCCTAGAATGTCATCTTTCTCTGTGCCCTTAGATGGCAGAAGGGGTGAGGGATCTTTTGGGAGGTCCATCTTATAAGATTGCTAACCCCATTCATGAGGGTTGCAATCTCATGCCCTAATCACCTCTAAATGGCCCCACCTGCAAATATTACCACATTTGGGGTTGTTACAACATATGAATTTGGGGGAGGCATGAACATTCAGTGTATAGCAGAGGGGAAGTTTCTCATGAAGGGAGAGAATAGTACAGACATGGCCACCTGGAGGACTTATGAGTTGGATAGCCATCCCAATTTGTATCTATTTATTATTTTTGTTTAGTGATTAAATTTTGTGCTCTCCTATCTATTTGTATGACACTCAGCTCTCTTCTAATTCTCATTGCCACTTAATTGCTTTTTTGTTTTATCAGTATTTCTGATTGAATTTTTAAAATTTCCACTTTTACATGTCATTTCCCTAAGAGTTTAGTTCTTACAACTGAGTGAAAATTATTAGACTTTATTTTTTTTAGAGCAGGTTTGGGTTCACAGCAAATTGAGCAGAAAGTACAGAGTTCCCATTACTCTGTCCCACAATATGTTAATAATTTTTGTATTGTAGTTTTAATTACTCATATTTCAACATGCTTAAAATATTATATTTTTGAATATTTATTTTTAAAGATTTTATTTTTTAGAGGGAGGGAGAAAGAGTGAGAGAAACCTTGATCGTATGCCACTCACATGTCCCCAACTGGAGACCTGGCCCACAACCCAGGCATTTGCTCTGACTGGGAATTGAACTGGTGACCTTTTGCTTCTCAGGCTTGTGCTCAACCCACTGAGCCACACCAGCCAGGGCTGAAATATTACTGTATTTTAAACATTTCTGACATATTTTGCTTTATTGTGCTTTAATCTTCTGTTTTGAGTCTGACTCCCAACTCTGCATTCCCAGTCTGGCCTTCTTTCCCTTCTTCCTTGTACATATGTTTGCTGATGCACATCATCTGGATGTTCTACTTACCCTTTCAACCTGACAGGTCCAGGAATGGGAATCAGCATCTTGTCCCCCTCATGTAAACCTGCTCCTCTTGTGTTCCCCATGTTAGTAAGGATTCTACCATTCACCCAGTTACTCAAGCCAGAAATCTGGAGAGTGATTTCCTAGGTTTTCCTTTTGGTTTAACTATTTTTATTGTTTAGTTATAGTTGTTCCACCTCCCCCCTGCTGTTGCTCTTCCCTGCTCCATCCCCCTCCACTCCCCTCCACTCCCACAGTCAACCCCCCATAGTCCGTGCCAGTGAGTCCTTTATTCATGTTTTTTGACTTGCTCCTTCCCCTACTTTCCTCCATTATCCCTCTTCCCCCACCTCTCTGGTCACTCTCAGTTTGTTCTTTATTTCCATGTCTCTGGTTCTATTTTGCTCATTTGTTTGTTTTGTTGACTCTGTTTCTCAATAAGTGAGATCATATGGCACTTGTCTTTCACCACCTGGCTTATTTCACTTAGCATAATACTCTTCAGTTCCATCCATACTGTTGTGAAGGGTAGGAATTCGTTCTTTCCGTTGTGTAGCTCTCCATTGTGTAAATGCACCACAGTGTTTTGATCCACTGAGTTATGGATGGGCACTTAGGCTATTTCCAGGTTTTCCTTTCTTATTAGACACATTCAGACATCATGTCTTACAGATTCTCTCTCCTGATTTCTATCCTCATCCCTGGTATTGTTGCTCCAGTTTAGGAAATCGTCATCCTTGAGTTGGATTACTGTACTCTAGCCTCCTAGCTCACCTCTTTGCTTTCACTTTTTTCCAAATCCAGTCCCAAAGCCAGAGTGATCCTCCTAAAATGAAAACTGATCATGTTGCTCTGCTGCTTGAAACTTCTTAGAGTCTCCCCTTTTCTTCTCCAGGAGAAAACCCAAGGCCTTTCCTGAACCAGCTCCTGCCCATCTTTTTAGCACTAGTTCCCATTGCTATACCTCCAGCATCATTTCCCCCTAGCCTTCCTGATTGGAACCTCTTGAAGAAATGGGATAATAGTGATTAATGGCACAGACTCAGGTGCAAATTAAAGCCTCGCCAGTTGGGTCAATTACACTTAAATATATGAGCCTCACTTTCTTTGCTAAAAGAGGGTAGCCTAACTACTTGGAAGAATTATTATGAAGAGGGACTATGATAATGTTGGCAAAATACTTGGCACATAGTAAAGCATTTGATACATGGTAGTTTATTATTAATATGGGCCTATACTAGTCCATCCCTTACTAATTTTGCTGAGTTCCCTCCTTGTCCTTTGCATTCCTTCATTTAGCAATTATTTCTTGATAACTTATTATATACCAGAATTCTAGAAGCTGGAGAAGTGTTGGTGCATCAGAACGACATTTTATTGTTCCAATTAACTTCTCCTTATGCTTTGAAACCTTTTCTGACATTCCTAGGCCTGGAACGTGCAGTGCTACCACTTGCTGTTGTGTCTTATACTAATATTCTTGTTTCACTTATTAAATTATCATGCTATAGAGCTAATGGTTATTAATGTGCTCCACTATTTCCAGACTGTCATTTTCTTGTAAGAAGTGTAGGGACTGTATTTTATTAATTTGGGTGTACTGAATGCTAACAGTGCTTGATAATTACTCACTTAAATACATGGAGTGGACACACAGAGGATATTCAGTGAATGTTGATTGGATAAAAATAAACATTTGAGTTCATAAAATAGTTTTCTTCTGTTACTACAAGTATGCAGGATTTTAGTTCCCTTTGATTTTTAGGGATACTCTAGGAACCTGTCTCCTAATTCTGTTTATAGGGAACAAATGGAATTTCAGTACAAATAAATAGATAACTTTAAAATGAAGCTTAAGAGTATAATTTTTGTAACTTGAGACTTTAGTGTGAGAAAATTCCATTCCATGAGCATTGCGAAGATCTGACCTGATGACCTTATATTGGTTTTATTTTTATTTTCATGTTTTTAGATGTTATCACTGTCCCTTTTTAAGTTTGTCCTTTTAGTGGCTTTCATGATTTTTAAAGCACTTTTATTTTTTTTAGATTTTATTTATTTTTAGAGAAGGGAAGAGAAGGAGAAAGAGGGAGACAGACATCAACGTGTGGTTGCCTCTGAAGCGCCCCCTACTGGGAACCAGGCCCGCAACTCAGGCCTGTGCCCTGACTGAGAATTGAACCAGCAACCCTTTGGTTCTGGCGCTCAATCCATTGAGCCATACCAGCCAGGGCTGGCTTTTATGATTTTAAAATTTCTTTCCTTTCATTACAGTTTTCTGGTATGTGCTCAGTTGAGTACATGTTTTGACAATGTTTTCTTTCTTTCCTGTACTCTTTCTTTTTACAGACTTCCTTCCCAGGCAACATACATTTGGTATTGGTTCTACGTCCAACCAGTTTTCTTCAACGGACTTTCACAGACATTGGATTTCGATTTAGTCAGGAGGATTTCATGCTCAAACTACCGGTAAGAGTATATTTTAAAAAACGTTTTGTTCCTTTTATTCTCATGAAGACTTTGTGCCATGCTGTTCATGTTATATATGTGCTCATGAAAAATGTAAAAGGAAAAAATTGAATTTGTCTTCAGAAAATGTAGATTTTTAATCTACATTTAAAAATGACTGAAAGTCTTCTGCTTCTACTGTTAAAGGAGTAGATTAATCAATTTGTAATTAAGCAATTCCTTTTGAAAATGATATATGTCACATATGTTATATATACAGGGTGGAGCAAAAGTAGGTTTGCAGTTGAGAGTATGTGAAACACAGTTTATTCTTGTATTATCATTTATTGATTATTGTATTTTTTCATATGAACAGCTGTAAACCTACTTTTTCTTCACCCTGTGTGTGTATGTATGTGTGCATGTGTGTATAAAATCAGGGCACTTCATTTTAGAAAATAATAAGTGAGTGTTTTATGTATTTGTACTCCCATGAACTTGCATCCTGAGGTAGTTCAGAGCAGCATGTTTTTGTTTTTTTAAAGATATTTTTATATGTTTTTAGGGCGAGGGTGCTCATAAATTTTGATATTTTTGCAAAGATCAGCCTCTCCTGATTAATTATAACGGACTCCATAAAGCCCTTTTACTTCGCAGTAGGCATAATACTCTTTCAGAAGGTTGATTGTTAACAGTGCAAAATTCTAGATCAAGGAGAATCAGGTGTTTGGGTTTCTATGGAGATTAATTTTGCTTTATAGAGAAATGTTTTATAAATGAAACCCGTTACTACTTGAAGAAGGTAGTGAATACATGTGTGGGGGGAGGAGCAGGAGAGATTTGCTAGAAGCATTTATAAAAGTTAAATTTCTGCTAAGTGAATGCTAAAGTTCATTGTACAGTTGAATGGAGGGATGCCACAAAGGGCAGTTAACAGTATCTTTCTTGCTTATTTATATAGGTTGTTATGCTGGGCTCAGTTAGTGAATTGCTGACATACATTGATGACAAGCAATTAACCCCTGAGTTAGGCGGCACCTTGCAGTACTGCCACAGTGAATGGATCCTCTTCAGAAATGTATGTTTCTTTTGCCCTTACTGTAGAGCTTGTGGTTCTTGTTAGCTTTTAAATCTAGTGCTAGAATTCTTTTCCTCTTTGGGAAAAACAGATTTCTGGGGCTCCTAGCTTTTAAAAGCATATAATTCAACATCTTGATTTTCTTCCATAGGAAATATCTAGAAATGATGAAGAGTCACTGAGGGTGGCAGTTGAAAGAGAGGCCTAGGGAATAAGGAGATCTTCCTCTGTCCTACCCACTCCTGTGGCCATGTAGTAACCTGAAGAAACAAAGGGTCAGGATTCAAATCTTAGCACCAATGCTTTTTAGTTGTATAACCTTGCACAAATTATATAACCTCTCTGAGTCTCAGTTTTCCCTCTTGTAAAATGGGAATAATAGATAAGTTTAACTCAGAGGGATATTGGGAAGATGAAATGAGACGGCAAATGTAAAATGTTTGGCACAGTGCCTCGCCTATGAGTATGGCGTGCCTTCAAAAGATGCAAGTCATATTATTGATCTTGCTATTGTAGTGGTGCTCCTTGGGGCAGTTAGCTTTGTAGCAGAGAGTCCTTCTGTTCTAGAAATTTACAAATAGGCAAGGGTCCTGCATCTCACAGGGGTGAGTTTGTGGTATAAGAGTCTCTACTGCAAATTCCACACATATAGGAAACTTCTGAAGGAAGTAATTAAATACTGTTTAATTAGACCAGGGTTCTGTTTTCCTCATGTGTATTCTTCATTCGATAGTCCTTCATATGCAGGCACATTGTCAAAATTAGCAGTGGCTAGCCTTACATAACTGATAAAGCTATAAATAAAAGAGCAGGTATCCTGAGCTGTGTGGTAAACAGGGGGTATATGTTGTCCCTTTCTTTCTCTGAGTAATTGCTTTTGGAAACAGAATGAACAGCAAAACCTTACTTGACATTTTAGGGCAACAAAACCTGAGATGAATTGTTGTGACTAGAGTCCCTACATCGCCTCATTTCATCATCTTACTCAGAATGCTAATACTTGTTCATAAACTATACTAAATATCAAGTGATCTTGATGTTCTCATCTCTCTCCAGAAGGAAAGTTATTATAAAGTGGTTTTATAATTGCAGAGTTTACTAGAACAAGGAAGACACTGGGGTTTTCAAGGTCATAAACTAAATTACTCAGGACATGGCATCTTTTAGAAAGAGTTTCCATCATTGTCAAAGTACAGAAATTTAGATAAAGGCCATTCAAGAAGACCCTTCACCTGACTATTTAGTTTTTTAGAGGCTTAGATGCAGAGTTAGAGTTGATTGCCAAGGGCAATGCCAACTCTCCTTAGCAGAGGAGAGTTCATAGTATATGTGTTTGCTGTCATACCTAAATAAAAGTAAATGCAGTTACTGATCCAGGTTCTGATATGCTGGCACAGGTCCCACAAAACTAAAAGAATCACTGGCTCTTTGCAGGCTATAGAAAATTTTGCCCTCACAGTGAAAGACATGGCTCAGATGCTACAGTCCTTTGGAACTGAACTGGCTGAGACAGAACTACCAGATGATATTTCTTCAACAGAAAAACTTCTTGCAATTCATACTGAAAGGTATCACCTGTTGAAGGTATGTCTGACAGGGGACAAACAAATGTTTTCCATGGTCTTTTTCTAGAGAGGTATTCAGTGTGTCCATTTCACACTGATTGGTGGGTAGGGAGACAAAAGATACAGTTATATATTATAAAGCACATGTAAAAAATAAGAATACAAGAGAGGGTCCTGGAATTGTTGTATCTAAGTACTTTGTAAATGGTGCATTCTCTTCAGAAGTTTTTTATTTGTAAATAGAATAGCTGATAAATGCTCCAGAATAAGAACTCTAAAGTCATTTTTGTTACCACATATTCTTTATCCCATGGAAAGGCCCACTCATTTGGAAACTTAGAGTATGAAGAGGCACACAGGTGTTCTATTTGAACATCTACCACAGGCACCATGTAAAATGGAGAACCTGGTGAGAAATCAGGAGGCCTGGTTTCTTGTCCCACCTCTGCTGTATACTAGCATTGGGACCAAGTCAAACATTGATAAATTGATTGCCAGCTTTCTTTTCCACAGAGGACTAGTTCTTGTTGTTTTGTACAATAAGTAGCAAGCTGATTTGGCTCTCTTACCCAGTTGTCTGGAGTGTTGGGTTGTGAAGGATTCTGAGACCCGATTCAGACAATCGCCAACTGCTTTAAATTCACTTTCCCGACAGAGTTTATAAATGATCTGAACAAGCACTAGGCTTCCCTGTGGAATTCATGTCCTTCACATGATAAAGGCTTGCTGGGTCACTGACAGATACAAGCTCTATGCAGAGGTGACATTTTTAAATTAAGAAGAGGAGAGAAAGTGAAATTGTGAATTATAATCTGAAAGCAAAACTCTGTTCAAGGAAAGAAAGCTCTGTCTCTCACAAACTATGTGATCAGGTAATTTGCTTACCCTCTCTAAAGTTCAGGCTTTTTTTGTGTGTACGGTGAGGTCGATGATGACACATGCATGCCTTGTAGGGTTGTTGTGGGGATGAAACGAAGTACAGCATGCAGTATATGTACAGCATTGTTTGGCACATAATTGCCATTAGCTCTTAAATGCTTGTGTTCTCATTCACATTGGTGGTGATGTCATGGATGCTGTATCACTCTTACATGCCTGAAGAATCCACCACGCAAGATTAAGATCTTCTGAATAGAAGCATATGCTTCGTGATTAATTGATTAATCCAAACATGAGCATGATACTTAGGGTAGGCAGTGATGGGTAACAATTAAGGATTAGTAGGAAGGGCATCTAACTATATCTGAATATACATTAAATATTATTTGGAACTGGATGCTTTCTAGTATGGTAGTCTTTGTTATGCTACCATGGTTTTATTTACGTACATTAAACTATTAGCAGAACATAATAAATTAACAGAACTTTCTACCAGTAAGAGAAGGAGGCTACGAATACTCCACAGCGTACTTCTGTCTGTAAAGATCTTGTAGAAATAGTGATTACTACATCCACCTCAACAGGCAGAGGCTTCTCAGAGATTCTAACAGCTTTTGGATTCTGTGGTACCGAGGTATTCCTTGCTTTTTCAGTCATAAAAGCAAAGGCCATTCTAAAGCTACTGTTTCTATTCTGCATGTTACAGGCATATGCTTCTTTCTCTGTAGGTCATTCCGATTAGGTTCCTAGCAGGTATTTGATACATCTTGTCATACCTTTGTACAGAATGATATTACAGCTGTAACCAAAGAAGGAAAAATTCTGCTAACCAATCTGGAAGTGCCTGACACGGAAGAAGCTGTAAGTTCAAGATTTGAACCTCATGAGCAAACAGGTGGTGATTGGCAAACTATCAATAAGTGAGTAATTTCTTTTGGGTTTAGACTTTCTTTATACTTTTGAAAGGGAACTTCATGTGTCTTGTTGTAATCTGTTAAGTGTTAAAGTATTCCTGGATCTCTGGAAATCTGAGGACTCACTCCTCAGTTGTCTCACAGAAGTTAGTTTGCTCATAGAAGTTCTGTGGACACTGATGATCTCTGGCTAGAGTGTCATGGCTGTGACTTTGCCTATAATTCCTAATGTCCTGACCAGGTTTATCTACATACCTATAAAACAAGCCAGTGTTTTAAAGGAACTCTATGGCTTTTCTTTGTTAAGATTGCTGGCTCAAGTACATGATATGGAAATTGCTTTTGATGGATTTTGGGAAAAACACCAACTAAAAATGGAGCAGTATCTGCAACTATGGAAATTTGAGCAGGATTTTCAAGAGGTCAGTTAAACATTTCTTTGTACATTTATTTTCTTTATGTCAGAGGTTCTTATTCCTTGATCATTACAAATATAGTCTCGTAAGATGCCCATTTGCACTCATGGAGAGATGGGGAGAAAAAGGAGGCAACCGTGAGTTAGTGAATCTTGACTTTGAATGAAGAAAGCAACCTACTAAGTGCCAAGACTTCTACTTCTGTGGCTTGTTCATTTCTTTCAAAAGAACACGTAATTATGTGCTAATAAATATGAGAGGGACAGAGTTGCAATCTATGCTGACATTTATTATTCAGTTTTATTTTTTATGTTTTTTAGGGAGGAGAGAAGGGAGAGGGAGGGAGGGGACAGGGTGGGCAGAGAGAGAAGAGAAGAGAAGAGAAGATTGAGAGATATTGAGAGAGATTGAGATTGAGATGTGTTGTTCCAAATGCAGTTATTGGATGCTTCTTGTCTGTGCCCTGATTGGGGATTGAACCTGCAACCTTGGTGTAGCAAGACAATGTTCTAACTAACTCAGCTACCCAGCCAGGGCTCCTGAAATTTATTTTAGATATAAAATGCTTTCAGCCCTGGTTGGTGTGGCTCAGTAGACTGAGTGCCAGCCTGTGAACCAAAGGGTCACTGGTTTGATTCCCAGTCAGGGCACGTGCCTGGGTTGCGGGACAGGTCCTCACTGGGGGGTACATAAGAGGCAAGCGATTGATATTTCTGTACCTCTCTTTCTCCCTCCTTCCCCTCTCTCTAAAAATAAATAAATATCTTTAAAATAAAAAAAGAGATGATCCAAGGTCATATTACTCCTGCTCTGCCTCAGCCCTAGAATAAGCCATTTTCTTGAGAAGCTCTGATATCTCTTCCTGGGAAATGATACTAAAAACCAAGATCTGGGTGCTAGGTATGCTCACTGCTCCTGAAGTGTCTTTGTTTCTAGAACTGTTCACCATTGAATTGGGGGCTATACATACAGGTATAGACAGATATACATACTTCTATATGTGTACATATACATGATCTCATATGTAAATAATGATATTTTATAAATAGTACACACTGATCTCTATGAGGTTAAATTTAAATAGGATACAAGAATTAGTGTGAATAAAATAACTGAAAGTATTTTCCAGATGTACAATTTTTTCATATTGATATTCTGATTTAATAGCATTTCCTATAAAACTTGATTATTAAGGGAAATGATGAGTAATTTATATGCTTTTAAGACTAATTTTTATTCCTATTTTTAGCTCATACGTGAAATTGAACTTCTATTAACCAAACAAGCAGAGCTGGCAGATGTCACAGGGAATATACTTCAAGTAAAACAAAAAATAAAACAGTTGGAAAAGTTAGATGAAAAGTCTAAGGTAAGATTAGATTTTGGATATTCATTCTATTTATGGAATATGATAGCTATATTTTGTTTTTCACTAGTCTAAGCACTTATTATGATTAATCTCTCAGCTACAATCTAAATACTTCGTTCAATATTGGTCTGTTTTCTGTGCAATGTGAGCCATGAGGTGACACTGCATGTGTCATGTAGGAGGCCTCTGAGATAATGGTGTGAATTGTTTCAGGCCTACCAGTGGCAATAAGATCCGAAATCACTTTTGAAGAGCCTGGCCGAATGTTTTTAAACAATGCAATTTTGTTACAAGAACATAATTCCTTAAACATCCATCATTTGATACATGCATTTGAACCAGACATACACTCATGCAGGTAGATCTGCTTAGTTTTACTAGTGGTGTGACCTTTGGTAAATTGATTACATTTTCTAAACCTCATTGTCCTCATCTATAAACTGGGGATGAAAGGACTTACTTTGCGGAGTGATTGTAAGGATTCATTTAGGTGGCATAGATGAAACCCTCAGCACAGTACCTGAGACATAATGGCTGTATAGTAAGTACTCCAAACAGCTAGCTGCCAGTCTTAAAGCTTGGACTCATGGCGTTACTACTTAACAAACTCTAGCTTTGCTCTCCTGTCTTGTATGCGAGGGCAAGGCCATGGTTTTTAGGGTGCTTTCTCAACATACAAATAGATTTATGGGTAAACCAGAAGCACCAGAAATGAAAATTGAGAGGAAGCAGCCATGGTGACCAGTTCTGGAATTGTGCTTGTAGGTCTTTGTGATTGTGGGGCAATTCACAGATCTCTGTGGTATAGTAGAAAGAGAAGGCAGATTGCCTTGGAAAATAGGGGGCTTTGCTTTTTTTTTTGCTTGCTTTTGTTTTGAATAACTTTTAGTTTTAATTGCGGTGACAGACACATAAAATAAAATTTAATATCTTAACAATTTCAGATTGTACAGTTAAGTAGTGTTAAGTGTATTCACATTGTTGTGCAACAGATTTCCAGAAATTTTTCATCTTGAGAAACTGAAACTCTATTGCCATTAAACGACTTCCTATTTTGACCCTAGTTTTTCCACTAGCTAGATAGGCTAGTACTTCTTCATTTGGGGCTGCAGTTTTCTTTATTTTACCTCAACAAACATTTCCTGGGCTCCTACTATGTTTCAGTCACTATGCTGGGGGCGGGTCAGCAGTTGAGGTGGAGGCAAGGCAGGTAAGATCACTTTTGACATGGAGACCCAGTGACACATTCATTTCATGTCTGTAAAGGAGTCAGGTAGATGATGACTCTAATGGGATTTCCAAGGCTGAGATGTGTAAAGTCAATTAGCTTTCTTTGGCTGGTGTGTACCTCATTTGATGTAGGCAGTTCTGTTCTAAATCTATACATCACAGGAGAAGCAAATCTCATCCCCATTCTGGGAGGCTGGTTAATTTTCTTTCTGTTACCAGAAATACGTGAGCTTCTGATGATATCAACTGCTATAGCTAATTGCTGTAACTGTAAGCTGTTTTGCAGCCTACAGAAGTATGACATCAAATAGTTTTGGCAAAATAGCTCTGTGCCCAACCAATTTGCTTCTTAATTACTTTTTTCTTCCGTGTCTTCGAACAGAGATCATGCAATTGTTTTACTTCTTTCTTAAAAACAGGATCTGTTGAGAAAGGCCCAGCTTGTGATTTTACATGGACACAAACTTGCAGCAAATCACCATTACGCACTTGATTTGATCTGCCAGAGGTGCAACGAGCTACGTTATCTTTCTGATATTTTGGTTAGTGAGATCAAAGCCAAATGGATACAGCTCAGCAGGACCTTAAAAATGCACAAACTCCTACAGCAGGTAGTGTCCTGGGACGGTGCATTTCTGAAACACAACATGAATATTTTTCTTGGGTCCTTTTTAGAGGTTATAGGGTCTGGGTCTGGTATAGCTTTGGAAGTAAATTTGCAAGGAGTCTGTGCTAGACTATGCTCATTTAATCCATATTACCTCTGCAGAACTCATTGCAGGTCTAGTATTGCAAGAATTTTGGCCTCTGTTGTGAATATTGAGATCGTGGTTGTGACAGTTTCTTTCTATTTTGGGTACATTTCTGAAGCCTATACTCTGCTGATAGTTTGTAGTCAGAATACTTTGAAAAGCCCTGGGCGCATTATGTGAAAGCCTGGAGCTCCTACATTTCATAGTTAAAGCAATAAAATATTAAACAGTGACTGGAACATATTCCTCCATGGCGTGTGGGTCTGACCCCATTCATGAGTAAGCAGTCTTGGCAGTGGGATGTAAAACAGGGGTATCACTTATAGGCATTGTATATGAACATGAACATTTTAATCTGCGTGTCTCCTGTGGCCAGGAAACTTTTATCCTTGTCCTGGGCAATCATTACACTTTTATGTTATACTTTATATTTTGCTATGAGTTTCATATTTCAGTTATTGATTCTGGGAAAATAGCATGCAGCTCAAGTGTTCGTATTGAGAGAATGGTCAGACTGCTGCTGCAGAATGATTTTCTTGTTATGAAACAAGTGCAGAGCTTCCCAGCCTTGGCTGCACATCAGAAACACCTCTAAAACTCTGTAAATATATAAACGCCCAGCTTATGGCCTGGGCCACTGAATCAGAATTTCTGGGGGCCCAACCTGGATATGTTTATTTTTTTTAATAGCTCTGAAAGCAACTCTGATCGACAGAAGCCAGGACTGATAAACACTGTCTTTTTAAAAAATTTTATTTTAATCATTGTTCAAGTACAGTTTTTCTCCCTTTTAGTCCCATTCCAGCCCGCCCACCCATGACTTCCCACTTTCCTCCCATGACCACCTTCCCCCTAGTTTTTGTCCATGTGTCCTTCAAATTTGTTCCTGTCAACCCTTCCCATTCTCCCCTGAAATTCCCTCTTCTCTCCCCTCTGGTCACTGTCAGCCTGTCCTCTATTTCAGTGTCTTTTACTATATTTTGCTTGTTTCTTTGTTTTGTTGTTTAGGTTCCTGTTAAAGGTGAGATCATATGGTATTTGTCTTTCACTGCCTGGCTTGTTTCCCTTAGTATAATGCTTTCCAGCTCCATCCATGCTGTTGCAAAGGGTAGGGGCCCCTTCTTTCTTTCTACTGCATAGAATTCCATTGTATAAATGTACCATAGTTTTTGATCCATTCATTTACTGATGGGCACCTTGGTTGCTTCCAGCACTTGGCTATTGTAAATTGTGCTGCTATGAACATTGGGGTGCAAAAGTTCTTTTGGATTGGTGTTTCAGGGTTCTTAGGATATAGTCCCAGCAGGGGAATTGCTGGGTCAAAAGGCAGATCCATTTTTAGTTTTCTGAGGAAGTTCCATCCTGTTTTCCATAGTGGTTGTACCAGTCTGCAGTCCCACCAGCAGTGCACTAGGGTTCCCAACCTCTCCAACAACCTCTCCAACACTTGTTGTTTGTTGCTTTGTGATAAACACTGTCTTAAGGGACACACATTTGTTTTTCATTTACTCATGGTTGTGTGTGTGTGTGATGTACTCACCAGGCTCGTCAGTGCTGTGATGAAGGAGAATATATTCTAGCTAATCAGGAGATAGACAAGTTTCAGTCTAAAGAAGATGCTCAGAAAACCCGCCAAGATATCGAACATTTTCTTGAAACGGCTCTGCCCTTTATAAATTGTGATCCTAAAACCCTACAGTATGAATTTGATGTAATTTTATCTCCTGAACTCAAGGTAAGAAGCTTCTTTTCAAGTAAACATGTTTTTAAAAACTTTAAGTACAGTAGTATTGATAATAGTTTTATTACTTTACAGCTACCTTTGTATCAAATTGCCATTACATAGTTCTCTTAAGGATTGGGGGTGATATCAGTGGCACTGTTAAGCACCAAAAAGTCCAAAAGCTTATTCTTGCTATTTAACAAAGACTAATTTCCTTTTTGAGGTCTGACTCCATTATTTTTAAACTCTTCATATACTACAAGTTCTCACATACATTTTCTTGTGCATCCTTGGAGAAAGGCCCAAAGCTCTCACAGGAGAACATTGGGCCCGCGTTAAGAGCGCCCTACCCTAAATGTATGTTCTTTGTGCTGCAGTGACCACCAACAGATGGTCTGTAGACACAAATCTTGTTTTTCTACTGAGTTTGAAAAGGAAAGTTTAGAGAAAAGATCCAGGTCTTCTCGGTATGTGGCGGGGGGGGGGGGAGTAGGCAGAAGTTGCTTTTGGCAGGGTGGAGAGCTATAGGTTTGTTCAGTACCACCCCATTGGAAATGTCATGAAGCACTGTCTTCACCTTGTAGGTAAGTGCATTTGTGGTGCTATTTGCTGTTAAAAGTGTCTAGTTGACTCAAAGTTTGGAGCAGTATCTAAATCCATGCTTAGCTTCAGTCCTTAGGGGATGCCCCAGAAAATCAGAAGCCTGGCTGTGGCAGAGACCCAGTCATTCTCTGGAAGCCACCAAGCTTAGCTAAGTGCCTCAAATCATCTAAAGGAGCAGAAGGGTATATTCTTTAGCAGTGGTTCTGAGGAGCCTCTTACAACATGGAGAGCTAAAGAATGTCCTGTAGGTTAAAACAAACTACTGTGACAATTCTTAACTTGGTGGCTTCCTCAAGCTAAACAAGCCTTCTTTTCCAGCCAATATCCCTTCCACCCTATGAAGGGTAAACCACTTTATGCAGTGACCTATTTCATGACTGCTTGATGAATTTCTTCTTTTATTTGTTTTGCTTGAGATCTTCAGGTTTTATAACCATGTGGAGATCATACATTAATCTGTTTTCCATTACTATCCTAAATTTCTTTGAGTTATATTTTAAAGTCTACATTAATTTTTGACTAAGTCTGAGAAATCTAATAAGATTTGTAATGACCCCATTTCAGAAAATATTTCATAAAATTCTTATGCAACTTGTAGATTCAAATGCAGACCATTCAACTCAAGCTTGAGAGCATTCGAAATATATTTGAGAACCAACAAGCCAGTTTCAAGAACCTGGAAGATAAGTGTGTGAGGCCAGTCCAGCTTGGGGCATCTGCTTGCAACAAAGTGTTCCGATCTAAAACATTTATTTTACCTAAACCTGGTAAAGAATCTTACGTTCTTACCTTTTCTACCTCTTCTTTTTTTGTTCTTATTTACTTTTTTATTCTTGATATAAACGCTGACTTTGTTCTTCAATCCTGATAAGTTGAAATTTCATTTCAGTGTCTTTGATCATGTATGATTATACTGCACAGGCAGGAGTTGAGGTTGGCACCACAGTAGTGATCTAATGCAGCCCAGGACGGTGCCAGTCTGCACCGAATACTCCAGTTGTGCAATGAGTGTGAACATTTATACCAGCCTCAACTTCATGCTTTTTTTCAGCACACAGAGGAAGGCATATGAAAGTGGCACACACGTGTGCCTACACGCACTCATGCATATTTTTCTTATTACTTACCTCAATAAACTAACTTGGTTCTTATAAGCTTCTTGTAAGTGAATGCCTTAGGTAATAGAATAGATTGCCTTTTCTAAGTAGGTGCAAGTAATTTGAACAATTTTGCTGGTAATCACCTGTGACAGGTTCCATTTTCTGGTCTTAATCTTTGTTGACTCATTTTAATCATGTAATATACATTTTCCTTTCTGTGTTCTGTGGGGTAAAACAATTATCCTCACTGTGATGTTGAACTACTCTGGAAATGAGGTGACTCTATTGCTCCCAGGTTTACCTCGAAGTGCCTCTGGGACCTGTTGGTTGGGGGAGAGGTTTGGCTTTGGAGCCTTAAGTAAGTTGAGTGAACATGGGACTAAATTTCATCTCTGATCTGAGAGAATCAGAGACTTTATTAATGTATGGGAACTACTTGGAAAATTAGGAGGGAGGTTGAGCCAGGGATAATGAGTATAAAAGTCCAGCTCAGCCCCAGCATGGATCAGATTAAAAAGGAGTGAGAAAAGCACGTAACTAGGTTAAGGTGATCCAAGTTATAGAACCAGTACTTATGAAATATAAACATATACTCACAAATAAAACTAAATCCCCAAAATGAAGAACATTCACTAAGATGATACAGGGAAAAAGTAAAAAGAACAAAAAAAAATAAGGAGCTAAAAAACAATAACTATGAGAATAAAAATAGAACAGGTTGATATTCCTAAGATCTCAGACTTCTGCCTTCATGTACTGGCTATGTGACCTTGGTGGTTCACTTAACCTCTTTTAGCCTCAGTTTCCTTGTCTGTTAAAATGAGAACATTAACACCTACTGACTTCAAAGGGTTCTTGTGAAAGAAATTGTAGAATATAAGAAGTACTCAATAAACTGGACTGTCCTCACTAAGGTTTTTTGCTTTATAGTCCTCTAAATGCTCAGCTCCTTGAAAGGGGTCCAGCAGTGGCACACCTTGGATTGAGGAACAGGGTTCTGAAAAGACTTCAAATTCCACTCCCCGCCTTAATCACTAAAATTACATTGTGTTTTGCATTGTTTCATTTTTTCTTTCTGATATTTTTATGTAATGGTGTTATACTTTCTGCAGCGGGAGTTGGATGGTCTTTCTTTCAAGCATGTAAACTTTTTTTTTTCCCCAAAAGGAGCCCATCTTTATTACTTTTCATCAGTACATTTTTCTGAGTTTGTGTACATGAAAAACCACTTTGGCATCTAAACCCAGCAGCATTCATTCTTGCATTTTGCCTACGATTAACTTTCTCTCTTTTTCATAATAACCATTGATTATTCCCTCTGTATTAAATTTAGCCCTGGAAAATAATTATATAAAAAGTAGATTAATTAGGCTCTTTCATCGAATGGCCACTCATAAAAAGAAAATAAGAAAAACAGTTGGCAGTGTTAAAAGGCATCAAACTTTCTTTCATTTCATAGACTCTTGTGTGATCCACAACAAAACTATTTGTTGGGAGTAGGTTAGATTTGCTGCAGTTTCAAACTGCCTAATGTATTTATATGGAAGAGGGCAGCTTACTGAGAAAATGACATGGTTAGATACATGATTTTATTCATCATTTATCATGGTTTACAAATTAAATCAAAGTATTACTTATGCTACAAACACCATTCATTTTACCTAATTGCTCTATGAGTTATATAATGGGAGTTAACAATCAGTTCCAAATAATTCTCCAAGAGTTTTAATTACTGAGCCAGATATAGAAGTTTTGTTCAACTCAAAACATAAATGTTAATGTTTCATAAAATAAGTCAAGCTGTTCTTGTTCTCTGTTTTTAGTTTTTATTAATTTGCATCAAATAGAATTCTATACCTAGCATAGTGCCTGTTCGCACCTAGCAGGATATAATAAATATTTGTTGAATTAACAATTAATACAGAGGGAAGTTTGGGAAGAACATCATCCACGAGGGGTAAAATGTGCTTGGAGCTATTAAATCTGTAACTGTAGTCTCATCTTTCTCCTAATCATCAAACCTGCATTTACAATTTGCCTCCTCAAACTTCCTGTAGACAACTGAGACTCAGCATCCCACAAACTGATCACTTCTCTCCTGCAAGCCTTCTGTTCTCCCTGCGTTCCTCATCTCAGTGAATAGCACCATGATTCCCAGGCCCTCAGCTCCCCCTTGTCATTCATGCCCCACCTGTAATCAGTCAAACAAAGTCCACTTCTTTCCATTTTTACTGCTATTTCTCACTGCCACTTACCTAATCCAACCTAATATCATCTATTGCCTGGACAGCTGCAGCAATCTCCCTGTCTCCCCATTTTCCCTTCTCAAATGCCCTTAGTTACCTTGCCTTTGCACTTCACACATACTGTTCTCTCTCAGGAACACTGTTCCTGTCCCTCTCCCTTTCCCCTTTGCTAGCTCCTTTAGGTGAGCCTTTCCTTCCTGCCTCTCCTCCCCTGCACCCAGTTCAGTTAGATGTTCTGGCTATGTGATAACAACTTCCCCCTTCATCTCTTCTCAGCTTTAGTGTTATTTCCTGTTTTGTGTTTCTCTTGATAGACTGTAAGCTCTGTAAGGACAAGAGCTGTGTACAATTCATGTTTGTATCCTTAGCACCAAACATGGAGCTTAGCACATAGTATAGGCACTCAATAATTTTATATACATATTTTCATTGATAAAAGAATGAATTGATCCATCTTGCTTTTCAGCAAAACTTGCATTTGTCATAAGTTGTAAATATTCCTTTTTCATCTCTTAATGCATTTGCCAATAATTAATTAGCACAGCTAATTAGTGGAGCTCCCTAAGTTATCTTTGTAAATCAGTTCAGATCTGTATATCAGGTGTCTTTTAAGTGGTGGACATCAGTGCTGATTGAGAAATTGATTTTATATGATAATTGCCAGTAAGTCTAATTTATTTATATGATGATATACACATACAATTTATGTATAAAATGTATTTTAAATAAATGAAAGTGAGGTATAAAATTTAGAGAATATAACAACCTAGCCTTTCCCTGAGTGTGTCTTGCAATAGCTCCTGCTGAGGAGGAAAAGACAAAAACGATGTTTCTTCCATGCAGAGGAGAGATCCACGCAGCCTGTGTGGGTGGCAGCCTTTTCAGCAGCCCTGAGAATTAGGAGCTTAAACGACCCAGTCTTTGAGTGGACCATGCCCTGGTCTTTGTAGGAACATCTGGACTCCTCGCTTAACAATATAGGGGCTCACCCTTTTTAAACAGAAGAGAAAGATTAAACAGAAAGAAAAAGAAAAGATTAAACAGCAAGAACAGAAAGATTAAAGCTTGGAATGTTGATGAAGTTGTTTTTAGTTTTGTTTTAGCATTTTAACATGCTTCACAAATGTTTTATGTAATGGTTAGGAACACCGATTCTGACAGTACATGGTTTGAATTTGAATACCACCTCTGCTTTTGGGACAAGATATTAACCTTCCTTATTTATCTTTAAAATGGGGGTAGAAGTAGTATTTATCTCTTAGGGTAATTTGAGGATTAAAAAAGAAAATGCATGTGTAGTGCTTAGAAGAGTGCCAGCATGTTGTAAGTGCCAAATAAATGCTATAATTATTAGTTAAATTTAGACTTTTTTTCCAAAACTCTTTTTGACCCAGTGAATCAGTTCAGATCTCTGTATCAGGTGTCTTTGAAATGGTGGGCATCAGTATTTATTGAGAAATTGATTTTATATTATAATTTCCAATAAGTCTAATTCATATTTATACATTATTACATACACACTAAAATTTATATATAAAATTATATATAAATATATTTAAAATAAATGAAAGTGAAGTATACAATTTAGAAAACAAAAGCATAGCCTTTCCCCGAGTGTGCTTTGCCATGGGTCCTGCGAAGGAGGAAAAGAATGTATGTACAGTACAATTAAATACTTATGTGTCAAAATGAGCACTAAATCTGCAAATAAATTAGGAGTAGTAACACCTCACTTCATGCTTGCTTGGCAATCAAGCAAATGTTTGATGAGAGAGAGACTGGGTTAATACATGGCAAAATCATACTCAATAAAAAGTTGAGATCATATACTTAAGTTTAACCATTCAACTGTTTTGCATAATATGATCTAAAAATATGAATAATATAAAGACATTGTAATATTATGACCTCTCTACTTAATAAACATTCATGTCTTTTTATTAAAAGTTTTGATTTTCATTCTGGTCTGAAATTATTCTTTCACATTTCTCTCCCAGGGAAGAAGATTTGGAAACAAAGTCAGAGGAACTTAAAAGTAAATACCATTAATTAATTCAAAGTTGGCTTTATTGCTGTGGTTGCAGAATTGGTATGGGAAATTAAACCATATTTTAATTTAATCAACCAGTATTGTGCATTTGAAAGCCTATTTCATCTAAAAGAAAAAGCTGCTACTGCATTGTGTCTAATTGCAGTCCTGGCATATCCCCAGATGTATGAGCAGATTCTCAAGTGTCGGGTCAAGTTCAGAATAATTTCTGTAGAGTATCTCATGTAAGTTCCAGCGTCTTTTCCCTCCACCTCACCTCAATAAACACAAATAAGTGTTGCACGTTTTTATAAAAGGAAATTTCTTTCATAAGTAATTCTAGTCCTGCAAAGCATGGACAAAGGATGAGTTTTAATGGACCGTACTTTGGGCTCAAAAAAGGCATTTTTGCTTTTCCCAATAAATACACAGTTCCTCCTCAGTTATCCGTGATATTCTGGTATCTGCAGAGAGTAGCCTCATCATAACTGCAACACCCCACATTTTCTTTGATGATAAATAAGGACAAGAATATATCTCCAGGAGGTAGTTTGTCATAGTGATATAGATTGTAGAGCTAATCGGCCTGGCTTTTAATCCCAGCTCCATCACTCCCTGGCTGTATAACTTTGGGTAAGTTCTCTGGAACTCAGTTTCCTTCTCTACAAAATGGGGATAATAATAGAATGCCCTCATCATGGAATTAGTGTAAAGATAAAATAATCTAACTCTTGTGAAGTACTTTGAATAATGTGTGGGATATGGTACACATGGTAGTGTTCTCAGGGTTTTATACAGTTATTAGCAGACCAGTGAGTGGCCTATACTTACATATCATGCCCGGTTATCATGTTGTACAGCCACAAGTTCTGGTTTCAAGAATCTGAGCGCCAAATTCCATAGTCGCACATGTCTTTCAGTTCTAGTTTTAACTCACGACTACCATAACATTCAGCTCTGTGTATTTATTCATTTGCACATCGCCCAGAAAAACATAGGAGGCTGTGGTTGTGTACAGTTTCTCAGTGAGATTTATAGCTGGTGAGCCTTGTTCCAAGTGGACATATTATTCCAATTCAAGTCAATGTGCACAATCTTTACGTATTTAAAAGTATAAATTGATGTTTCAGAACTCTCCAAATTTGTATTTCAGAAACCCTTTAGAAGTAAATGATGTATACCTACCTGATAAGTGGAGTATGCAGTCTTTTCGGTCTTAATTATGGTATTAAAATGATAAAGTTGGTACATTGAGCAGACATAAATTGAAGCACATTCTTAAAGAGGGAGCATGATGTGGGTGGCAGACCATAGGCTTGACTCTGTTTCATCACTTACTAGGTATGCAACATTGGCCCTGTTGCTAAACTTCTCTGAGCCTCAGTTTTCCCACCTGTAAATGGGGATGAGTGTGACATAGCTTGCTAAATTGCTGTAAGATTTGATATAATGATGTGTGTTAAGGACTTAGGACTGTGCCTGCACAATATATTATATATAAAGTAGTCAAGAAATGTTCATTCCTTTCCACCTGCACTTGTGATCAGTAGGTCATATTCCATGGAAATGCTTTGCAGCTGATAGATTCCATACTTCATTTTGGGTTCTAGTTGTCACAAGGTAATGCCACATTTACTCAGGGGTTAGGCTTTTTCGCACATCTCAGCTGTCAAATGAAACCAGGATCCCCGGAATACTTCTGAAGAGCAAAGAATCTCATTTTGTGATAAATCTCATGTAGTTGACTCAGTAAGGCAGACTGAGTCCCATAGAGTTTGCACATTAGGTAGCAGTTGAGGATCAGGGAGGTCACTTGTGGCAAAAACTGACATGTGGCAGAGAACAGAGACAGATGAACAGGTTATAGCCATTTCAAGAAACAGACACTTCATATGTTACTAGCCCTGGAATCTGTCATTAGATTTTATCATGTCATTCATGTTCATGATTTTTTAAAAGATTTTATTTATTTATTTTTAGAGAGTGGGAAAGGGAAGGAGAAGGAGAGAAACATCAATGTGTGGTTGCCTCTTGCACACCCCCTACTGGGGAACTGGCCTGCAACCCAGGCATGTGCCCTGACTAGGAATTGAACTGATGACGCTTTGGTTCGCAGGCTGGCACTCAATCCACTGAGCCACACCAGGCAGGGCTCATGTTCATGATTGATGTCAGTGAGTCAGTGGGAAAGGGAGCCATGGTATTCTGTATCCTTGGTTAAAGAATTCAAGGATTCATGTAATATTTTCTAGAAAGGTTTCCATCAAAAATCATTAAGATTAAAAGGCCATTTTGGTTCTTCAGTGAATAAACTTCAGTTATTTGCACAATCAGCTTTTCATGAATTAACCTTATTTTCCCAAAGTGCCAAATAAATGAAACATGACTTAATGTATAAAACAAATTCTAATTAGTATGTTAAATCTGTTCTCTTAAGCAATTCAAATCATTTTTTACTAGTGCATATTATGTCTGAAAGAATAATAATCATACTTTTCAACTTATCTACAGAGTTAGGGAAAAGTTAATACGAACTTGATTTCCTTGAGGAAGAACAATACCTGCTTAGATGCTAATTTCAGTTATTTTTGTCATTTCAGATTGAAGTGTTGCACGACTGTCTGGAGAAGACAAGTTCTGTTCCGCCCTCCAGTTTGGACAGTAACAGTGGCTTGGATATTTTAAAGAAGTATCTTTTATTTATTAACAGACATTCATATACAGTCTATCAGTAGGAGTCACCAATTCAGTATTCAAGGCGAACATGCTTGGGATTTTGATTTCACAGTATGGGTTATGTGGGGTGTGATGAAAAGAGCATTAGATGAGATTTAAGTCTTGGATTTGGGCCTGGCCAACCCATGCTCAGTTTATGTGACTTGAAAATTAGAGCTTTTCAGAATCTTAAGCTCCTTTTATGTAAAAGAGGTCAGAGTGAATGGGACAGTGTCCCAAAAGCTACAAAGGATTATGTATACGTACAATGTTATTTTATAGAAATTAATAATCATTGTTTTGTTTACTCTTACAGTATTTTGTTAATATTCCACACGTAACTATATCTACCTTTTAAATTTTATATCATACAGTTGTAAGTAGCCAGTATTTTAGGGCAAGGTATATGTGAACATATACAAGGTGGGGAAAATGTAGGTGTACAGTTGTTTGTATGGAAAATAATGCAATTAATAAATAATAATACAAGGAGAAACTGTGTTTCACATACTCACAACTGTAAGCCTACGTTTGTGCCACTCTGTGTGTATATGATTGTTAAATGTTAATGCTTAAAGGGTAAAATTTTTTTTAAAAAAGAGGCCAAAGATAGACATTAAATTAAGAGAGTTACTTATATTGGGGAATGAGGAAATGAATTTTAAATATGATGTCAATTAGAAATGATATTGGAAAGAAAATGTATTTTATTTTAAAGATACAGTAACAAAAATTACTACAGAAACTTAAGTATGATTTATACTTGGGAAAACCGCTATAATAAATCCATTTAATGTCTTGGAAAATTTCAGAACATTACTGAGAAAAGGAAAAATTATTCCTAAAATGCTAATATTTCTTTTTGAGTGTGATGGAGATAGAGAGGGAACTATAGCTCAGAAATTGTGCTGCCCCCAAAAAATATGTCCCAGATTTTTAGTAGTAGAGATTGTGAGGGTTTAGATTCTTAAGCTTAGTGAGTTAGAAATAAAGTGGGTTTTTTCACTTAAAAATAACTTCTGAGCCCTGCTTCCATTTCTTTTAAATATATTTTAGATTCTTATCTTGGGATTGGTACTTATTCTAGAAACCATAAAAATAATTTTGTATTTTGATAATAAAACTAAAACCATTGGTAGTTCCTGTGAAGAGACAGTTTTTACATTAGACAATTTATAGTGATAATAACTGAAACATTGTAATATAATTCTAAAGTGATAAAGTAATTGATAAACATGGTCTTTTAATTTTAGCCATGTCCTGAATGAGCTGATACAGACTGAGAAGGTGTATGTTTGCGAGCTGTTTACTGTTTTGTTGGTAAGGGACTCACTGCATTTTTCCCATCTTTTTCTAAATGCTCCCTGCTTCATCCATTAGGAAGTGCTGAGGGCCGTCTTCTTTTTCTGTATTCTTCCTTGATGGTCCCATGGCAGCATTGGGTATTTCTGTTATGTTTTGAGGCTGCATGTTTGTGAGATGTACATATTCAGGTTCCCCCTCAGGAGTGAGAATTGTGGATTCACAATTTATTACAGACAAGAAAAGCTGTTCTTTTAGGGATACAGCAGGTTGCTCTAACTATTCCCATTGTGCTATTTAAAGACTGTGATGTAAAGAACCAAAAATGAGAGAAAAACATTCATTTCATACAAATGTCATTATGAATTTGGTCTGAAAAAACCTAAACACTTATTGATGATCTGTAATATAATTTTTCATACTTGCTTCTGCTTTGTTTCCTACTCTATAAACTACTCTGAAGGCCAAAGAGCAGTCACTTTGATCTACCCATTGAGTGGAAGACCTACACTTCCTTGTCCTACTTTCTAAAAAAAAAAAAAAGTAATGATAATGGATAAATTTGAGAACTAGAAGACTTGACTGTTACAATTACAAACAGTTTCATGCACTAATCCCCTATGCATTTTGCTGTACCTACACCTTTGGTGGGCCGATCAACTGTTAATGTGAATATTTTTAAATGAATGAATGTGTTTATTTTGGGCAGGGCTATGGAGCGGAGATGGACAATCCAGAGATGTTTGATCTTATGCCACCTCTCCTGAGAAATAAAAAGGATGTTCTCTTTGGAAATATGGCAGAAATATATGAATTCCATAACAAGTATGTAATTGCTGAATTGAATTTTTCATGTATTATTTAAAGGGCAATTGACCAATTATTCCACATAAACATATATTCTTTTTTTTTCTCTGAAATTTTCATAGCCTTTTCATGAGCAGTCTGGAAAATTGCATTGATGCTCCAGAAAGAGTGGGACTTTGTTTCCTGGAAAGGGTTAGTTCAATTATTATTTAAAAATATATAAATATGGACCACCAAAATAGCAGCTCATTTTATAAGAACAGATTTAGAGACAAGGTAGGTATTGTTTTTATGTCTTTATGTTTTTAGAGGAGACACATCACTCCAGCAAGTATTTAATGCTAAACTAGGTTTCGTTACAGAAACTGGTGCAATGGGGATATCAAGAGCATGCAAATGGCCATTGTGTTATGTGCTAGCAAATGCTTCACTGGCTCAGCTTGTGACCGCTGACCCCTGGGTGATCCCGGGAGTTTAAGCACCATCCTCACTATGAAGATGTGAGAGTTGGGATCGTCTTAGCACAACCATTCTTGGCTTGGTTAATTTTTAGCCTAAGAGATGCCTTGGTGTTTCCCTCTAATACATGTGAAGTCTTAGTAGAATCAAATGTAATCTGGTGTTCAGACCCACGGCATCTATCACAGGAAGTTTGCATAAACAGAGAGCTGTCTGTTCTTTTTATTCTATGAGATCAGTCAGGGAGGCTCATTTCTCCATGTTCCAAGAGTATACTTAATACAGTTGAGTTCTCAAGTTTCATAATCATACTCTCCTCCATTAGAGTTTCTTCTCAGAATGTTCTCTGCTTATCTAGTTCCTCCTGTTCCTGACATAACAGTTCTGTCTTAATTTGAGGGTCAATTGGAAAGAATGATTATTGAAAGCTTCCTAATAGATATCTCAGAAAGTGTTTATGGGTTGAGAAAACATTTAAGGTTAAGAAAGAAATTTGTGTTGTTACCTTTCTCAACATACCCTAATTTTAAACATGTTTAAACCATGTCTAGATTCTTCCCGCAGCAACAGCAGTCTCTCTTTCCCATGGACTCCTGTAGGACTTAGTGACTGTGCTACTTATTGGGGATTTTACAATTACTATGCATCTTTACATATATTCAAAGCCCAACTTCATGGAAAACTCTGAGACAGGGTCCACATCCTATATATCTTTTTTTTTAGCTGAATTAGAATATATTGCTCTTACCAAGTACATGTCACTTTGCTACAAGCCCTGTGTTCCTGTAGGATATACACACACGTACCCTTGTACCCCCCCCCCCCACTGCCGCAAGCCTCCATCCCCCTTTGGGTGTGGAGTTCGATTGTCTTGCTGCCACCAAAGACTCCACTTCTGTGAGTTCCCTTAATTACTCCCTTCAATTTTGGATAGGTCAACATCTTTCTTTGGTCTCTAGGCCCCATTCTCCTTTGGAGGTTGGTTCTAGTACACCTTGGGAAATTTTCCCAACAGACTACTTATAATTTTTGTTTTCCTATCAGATTTCTGGGTCAATTTAAGTATGATTATATCCAGCAGTGAATTAGCAATCTACAAAGTGGGTATCACTGGTAAAAACACTAATATGAGTCTAATAGGTGAATCTAATTTCCATTTAAAAGATGTAAATGCACATTATTTTAGCAAACTTGAGATTTATTAATTTTTCTTTTTTTTTCTCCCTTCTACTCTTACTCCTTCTCTTCTATCCTTTCTTTTCCTTTTTCTCTTTTCTTATTCATTCATTCCCTTCCCTTCTTTTTTCTCTTTATACTTTACCCTTTTCTTTTCCCCTGCTTTCATTCTTTTCCTTTATGCTGATTGGACATAACTGGTAGAGTTGAGCCCTACTTATGAGGGCCTTTAGGAGCTGCATGTGATACAGAGTAACTAGATGTCTTTATGTGAGAAGACATGAGAGAGCATATGGAAAGTCAACAGGCCAGTCTCCCTAATGGTTCTTCCTGACTCTGGAGAGAAAATTATTTCTAATCTTGGGCTGCTACAAAACTGGGAAGAAGTCTGGAAGTGGAAAATTGAAGGCAGCTCATAAACCTGTTGTGCCCATAAATAGAGATTAAAAAGTAGATGTACCTGCAGGAGAGTTTTGGTCTGGGAGTCAGGATGCTGTTTGCCCAGGCTTTTCCATGCTGTTGGGGATCGAAGATTTCCTTGTCCTCATTGTGCTGCTACATGGAATGGTGTGGCTCAGCTGCCTCCATGGCAGGGTCTCTCTACAAATGGAGGTGACATGTTCCATCTCTTTAAGCTTAATTCGTTGAAGGCTCAGCCGTATCTCAGGAAAAGAAATAGAAGTCCATGGTTTAGGCAGCCCCTGCTTCTTCCCAGTAACTTGTGCTCGGCTGGGAGGCCTCCCTTGGTTCCCAGCACCATTAGCTGTGTCACCGGGATCTCCAGCTAAAGCCGCCTGGTGGTTCTCTGCTGAAGCCGCATAATGATTCTTCTCATGGCTGCAGGGGTCCACACTCTGCTAAAAGCACGTGGTTCTCCTCACTGCCACAGCTGCATGGTCCTCCCTTCAATGGCTGCTGAGTCTCCACATCCTATATATCTTTGTGTCTCTTATAAAGTTAGCAGAGTTCTTGGCAACCAGTATTAGTTTTAATTCATGCCTTTTGATATGTTCATTCATTCAACAGCTGTCTACTAGAACCTGCTATGTGCTGAGCACTGTGCTAGGCTATATGGATACCAAGCCTAAGACTATTCATGGAGGAAAACAGGGAATCCATTGTATATGGTGTGAGTTGTGCTATTTTAGAGATATACAAAGGGACATATAGGGGCCAAGAAGAGGTGCATCTTATGTAGACCGGAGGTGTAAATGATGGCTTTATAGAAGAGGTGACTCATGAGATGAATGTTAAAGAGTTAGTAGGAGTCAGCCCATGAGAAAAGGGTCAAATAAAGAGGATTCCAGGGAGAGAGAATAGCATGGCCAGATGTCCAGTGGGTTATATAGTACAATGATGATTTCCTAATGGTAAACCAAGGACCTTGAGAGTTAGCTACAAGTTCACTTAGAAGGGAATCAGCTGACTAACAACATAATAAGGTAATATGTTCTGGTATCCTATTAGCTCATGGTTGTGAAAATATGGGTCTGCTTTTATAATACATTCAGAGAAGGCTTTTCTCACTCTAACTCTCAAATTCGGTAAGTGGAAGCTATGAAATTACTGGGATAATTATGTGTCCATCTACCTGGTCTGATAGGCATGCTGCCGATGTGGCAGCCCTTTAGGCCGCATTCCCTGTAATGCTCAGCCGCACCCATTCTCACTCAGCCTTTCTTGATAAGAAAAGTACATGGTCACACATTGGTAATATGTTTGAATTCACTTTTATCACAGAAAGCTGATTTTCAGATGTATGAAAAGTATTGTCAGAATAAGCCCAGATCAGAGGCAGTGTGGAAGAAGTATTCAGAGTGTGCCTTTTTCCAGGTATAGTAATTTTTCTGGTTTTGGATATACTCTTTCTGGAAGATATTGGGATATTTCTTATTTATAAACTCAGTTTCTACTTTATGTAAGGTCAAATACTTTAAGTACTCTAATCAATATATACATATATTGATTATCAATATATACATATATTGATAATCAATATACATATAGTGGTTTTTAATATATGCATACATTGATTAAAGAACAATTTTATACTCCCCCAAACACACATGCACATGCATGCACAGACACATGACCACATTTATGCTGCTTCCCAGAGGCAACCGCTTTCAGCTCTTTTAGCTACTTCTTTTGGTAGCTAAGTGCTTATATTGCTACTTCCCACCATGGACCATGAAGGCCCCATCTGCCCCCATACTCATACCCATACTTTTTTCCTCCAAATCATTTAATATAGTTATATCATAATTTTGCTTAGGATGGTATACAGTGTTAAATTATTAAGACCCTGTGATTTCTATGCTTAGATGAATTATGTACCATAAGATGATTGTTTTCTTTCCCTTTTGTTTTTCTTGCAGTTGTCTTTTTTACTCACTTTTAGGTACTTATCCTTAATTCTACCTCAAACTTTCCCAGAAGAGTTACATAAATATTTTTTTACATTTTATTTATTTATTTTTTGAGAGAGAGGGGAAGGAAAGGAGAAGGAGAGAAGCATCGACGTGTGAGAGAAATTTTGATCGATTGCCTCTCATGCACGTTCCTGCCAGGGACCTGGTCTGCAACTCAGGCCTGTGCCCTGACCAAAATCAAACTGGAGACCTTTAGCTTTTCAGGATGATGCTCAATGAACTGAGCCATGCCAGTCAGGGTGTGTTTAATTACTTCTTAAAGACATTTTTAACAACCATCTTTTTTCAAACCCTATTCTCACCTCCCACTTTCAGAGGTACTTAGTGTCTGTAATTCATTGTGGAGATGGGAAAAGTGTTCTATAATGTAAATTGAGTTGCTCCATGGCTTTCTCCTGTGTCAACTTCAGATTCACTTTCTCTTATATGTTCAATTGTCTAATACTTGTCAGTTTGGTTTCCAGTTTCCACATTTTGTCAATGTTTTTTTCTCTCCCATCTTTGTAACTTGGATTTTGCCTTGTAAAAATAACTTTCCCATCATTGTAGTTGGGTTTCATGAGTGAGGAGAGCTCAGTACATGTATTTATCCACCATGTTTGTCAGTTGATGACTGTTTAAGTTACATTACTTATTGGATTTTATTCATATCCAGAAGGGGACCTGGATCGTACATAGGTGTAACCTCTCCCACTTATTTTCTGTTCTGCACTTCTTCATCCTATCCTGCCCCCATCTTGTCCTTCCTATGGACCCTACAATGCTCCCAGGACCCAAAGTCATGATGCTTATATTTGTAGTGGCAGTGAGACAGTAATTACATGAAATATAGCACCAGTTGATGAGGACTGTATTTTTCTTGTGATATTAAAAAAAAACTTTTCTCATGCCCAGTCTGATTTATATTCAGTAAAACCAACTTCTTTTCTGGGCCTTGGGCTATGGAGCTGAGCCTTTTGTTAATTTTCTTGGATATATTGAAGAACTTTTTAATGGTGTTCATCTATGGTCACTCATTGTTTTCTCACCTTTTAAACATTCCACATCGATGTGAATTTATATGTAAAACTTAGTCTTTGAAACTTTAGAATTTTCTGTCTCTAATGACCATACCATATGTAACAGTGATTTTCTGGTAAATTTGCCTTGTGAGTTAAGAAATCAGTATGCATTGGGTCTGATCACTTGGCATTTTCACAGGTATATGTCTTAATTTAAGTTGATTGATAATTATATTTTAATGACAGGAATGCCAAAGAAAATTAAAACACAGACTTGGTCTGGACTCCTATTTACTCAAACCAGTGCAACGACTCACTAAATATCAGTTATTGTTGAAAGTAAGTACATTAAGCATTTGCTTCTTTATTTACTTCTTTGGGTCAGATGTGCCAAAGCCATTAAAAAGGAAGTAGCTGACTAGGAAACACTAGAAGTAGGTAGACTCAATAACTATGAAGGTTAGATTTAGTGGTAGGATCAATGCAGTGTGGCCCTCAATTCACTGACTATGCAAATATTGGAGGCTTAGCTATAAAGCTGAGTATATCAGGCATCCTTCTAGCTATTTAAGTATTCATACAAGTAACAATGGCATATGTATAACATTTATTGCAGAACTTTTATTGTTTTCAAGAAGAACTAAGCAAATACTTCTAAGAGTTTTGCAACTACATTTCATATGGGTCTTTTCAATGGAAAGTGAAGATGGTACATCCCTTGTGTAATGTGAAATGTTGTGTTAATTATGAATGCAGCAGAGCTTGGTTTAAAATGTATTTTCACAATGTTTTATTGTATATGCATACTAAATGAAATAAATTGCTGTATCTAGAAGACCAAAAAATGTATAGTTGCTTCACAAACTAATCTCTAGTATATTCTAACAGTTTTGTTCTTTAGCTGCAAAAGCATTGAATGTGCTTTGCTTCATAGTGTTTACTCAGTATTCCATGTCTTCTCCAATTGGATATTGTTATTAAATGTAGTATTAATGTGACAAATAACATATAAAAGAAACTACTAAAAAAATTGACATTAGGACTTCCGGTCAAGATGGAGGCATAGGCAGGCACACTGTGCCTCCTCGCACAACCAAAATAAGGACAACGACAAATTAAAAAACAACCAGTACCGACAGAAAATTGAACTGTATGGAAGTCCAACAACCAAGGAGTTAAAGTAGACACATTCATCCAGACTGGTAGGAGGGGCAGAGTCAGGCAGCCCAACTGAGAGGGCTCAGGGCAAAGCAGCGGCAGCAGGTGGACCCCTGAGGCGGCGGACTGTGGACGGGCATGGTGCACAAGGTGGCTGGTGGAATAGTGGTCCCACATTGCACGCAGGTAAACCAGGTGAAGCGGGGGAGCAAGACAGACCATGCAACCCAGGGTCCCAGCACAAGGAAATAAAGCTTCAAAACACCCATTGAAAACACCTGTGGGGGTTGAGGCAGCAGCGGGAGAAACTCCCAGCCTCACAGGAGAGTTTGTTAGAGAGACCCACAGGGTCCTAGAATGTACACAAACCCACCCACTCGGGAATCAGCACCAGAAGGGCCCAATTTGTTTGTGGGAAGTTGGGGAAGTGACAGAAATCTGGCAGAGAGTGGAGCAAGTGCCATTATTCCCTCTCAGACTCCTGTCCCATATACAGCATCACAACCCAGCAACTGGGTTGCCCCCCGCCCCCCCCCCCCGTCCTGTGAACACCTAAGGCTCCACCCCTCACTACATAACAGGCGCATCAAGACAAAAAGGCCCAAATGAAAGATCAAAGCTCCAGAAAAAATACAACTAAGCGGTGAGGAGGTAGCCAGCCTATCAGATGCACAGGTCAAAACACTGGTAGTCAAGATGCTCACAGAATTGGTTGAATTTGGTCACAAATTAGACAAAAAAATGAAGGCTATGCTAAGTGAAATAAAGGAAAATGTACAAGGAACCAATAGTGATGGGAAGGAGATTGGGGCTCAAATCAATGGAGTGGACCAGAAGGAAGAAAGAAACATTCAATCAGAAAAGAATGAAGAAACAAGAATTCAAAACAATGAGGAGAGGCTTGGGAACCTCCAGGACATCTTTAAACATTCCAACATCTGAATTATAGGGGTACCAGAAGGAGAAGAGGAAAAGCAACCAGTGGAAAAGTTATTTGAAGAAATAATAAAGGAGAACTTCCCCATTCTGGCTAAGAAAATAGACTTCTAGGAAGTCCAGGAAGTTCAGAGAGTCCCAAAGAAGTTGAACCCAAGGAGGAACACACCAAGGCACATCATAATTACATTACCCAAGATTAAAGATGAGAGGATCTTAAAAGCAGCAAGATAAAAGGAGACAGTTACCTTCAAAGGAATTCCCATCAGACTGTCAGCTGATTTCTCAAAAGAGACCTTACAGGCAAGAAGGGGTTGGAAAGAAGTATTCCAAGTCATGAAAGGCAAGGACCTACATCCAAGATTGCTCTATCCAGCAAAGCTTTCATTCATAATGGAAGGGCAGATAAAGTGTTTCCCAGATAAGGTCAAGTTAAAGGAGTTCATCATCACCAAGCCCTTATTTTATGAAATGTTAAAGGGACTTATCTAAGAAAAAGAAGACAAAAAACATGTACAGTAAAATGACAGCCAACTCACAACTATTGACAACCACACCTAAAACAAAAACAAAAAGAAACTAAGCAAACAACTAGAACAGGAACAGAACCACAGAAATGGAGATCAAATGGAGGGTTAGCAAGAGGGGGGTGGGAGGAGGAAAGGGGAAGAGGGGGAAAAGGTACAGAGAATAAGTAGCATAGATAGTAGGTAGAAAATAGACGGGGAGGGTAAGAATAGTATGGGAAATGTAGAAGCCAAAGAACTTGCAAGTATGACACATGGACATGAACTAAAGGGGGGAAATGGGGGTGGGATGGGGTGTGCAGGGTAGAGGGGAGTATGGGGCAACTGTAATAGCATAGCCAATAAAATGTATTTTAAAAACCAACCAAACAAAAAGTGACATTATTTGGAATTCCTCCTTGAAAGCATGTTAGCCAAAATTTTGTTCATTTCCTCCAGCTGTTGATGTCTGCCTACTGTTAAGTTTAATTCTTGACTTCTAATTACAGGAATTATTAAAATATAGCAAAGACTCTGAAGGATATGAACAATTAAAGGAGGCACTTGACACGATGCTGGATTTACTCAAGTCAGTTAATGACTCTATGCATCAGATTGCAATAAATGGCTATATTGTAAGTAGACTTTAATGATTATCACAATTTTAAAGGGTAAGCATGTACATATCCCTCTCTTCCTCTCAGGGAACCAATTGAGAAATAAGAGGGGGCAGACAAACGGAGGTAGACCCAAATGTCAGCATTATTACTGATAATGCTGAGTGGAGAATTGGCTTCAGATCACTAGCCAAATGGATTTGTGACATCCCGCTTGTCCCCAGTAGTCTACCTCTAAGTCTAGACTTTAACTGATCCTGTTTGAAGGAATATTTGGGTCTTCTAAGCAGACATATTGCCCCAGAATTGCCCCTTGTCCTAGTCCAGGATAGATATGGAAGAAAAAGATCAAATCCTTAGAGTTACTACCACCCATTGAGAAAATTTGGACTAGTTGATGCCATTGCCAATCAAGATCAAGAAAGAGTTGGGGAGAATTACCCTGTCTCAACTACCTCCACATGGAGACATGAAGCCAGGGAAAAGGAAGCTTCTCAGATGTTTCACTCCACAGTAATTTTGTAACTATTTGACACATAGCATGTTTTAATATAAAAATTTATGATGAAATTTTAAAAGCTTATCAATTATACTTCAGGGTTTTAGTAGTTCAAGCTAAACACTGTAGTGTTGATGTCAGAAATCTGAATGTAGCTCTGCTTTGTGTTAATGAGTTTTGATTTTCCATTCTAGGGAAACTTAAATGATCTGGGAAAGATGATAATACAGGGTGCATTCAGTGTTTGGATTGGACACAAAAAAGGCACTACAAAAATGAAGGATTTTGCTAGATTCAAACCAATGCAGCGGCACCTTTTCTTGTATGAAAAAGCCATTGTTTTTTGTAAAAGGCGTGTTGAAAGTGGAGAAGGTTCCCTCAAATACCCGTCATACAGTTTTAAGCACTCCTTAAATGTAAGGCAATTTGAATTGTATAATGTAATATTCTTTCACATATATTTTCAAGTTTGTGTACTTTTTCAGTTCAAATACGTGGGTTTTATATTTTACTGGCATGTACCTTGGAGGTATAATTTATATATGACATTGTATTAGTTTCATGTGTGCAATTGTTTGATATTTCTATGTATTGTGAAATGATCACCACAATAAGCCCAGTTAACATCCAGTACCCTACATAGTTAAATTTTTTTCTTGTGATGAGAAATTTTAAGATCTACTGTTAGTAACTTTCAAATATGCACTATTATAGTATTATTAACTATCATCACCATTCTGTATATTGCATCCCCAGGACTTAATTTATTTTATAACTGAAAGGTGTTTTTCCCTTTAACCCCCCTCCCCCTATTTCTCCCACCTATGAAATCTTAGGTAGAAATCCTATATAGAAGTGAGGTAAAACAGAACTTCTCTGCCTGAAATGAGTGAGGGACTGCAGAGCTTTGCCTCCATCCTTTCCTCTCTTACTCCAACCCTTGGCAGGCTCCCTAGTGTCCTGCAGAGCATAGTTTGAAATAATGAAAAGTGACTTGACTTCCGCATGAGCACTCTTACCACTGGTACTGGGTGGAGTTCCTGGTCTTGGTAGCAGGGAGCCTTTGTAATAGAAGAGACTGGGAGGAAACAGTTTCTTCCTTTTCCACCCTGTAATTTACAAATGAATATGTGCTTAGCAAATCCCCACCTTCCTTTTTGTGTCCTTCCTCTATTTCCTGGCATCTCTTTTCCTGGGTGTTCAAACCTGCCCACAGCTGAATCCTATTCACACCTGTCTTGTCCTATCCTTTGAAATGACTTTCTCCTCTCCTATAACCCAGATTTGCATTCTGTTCTAACACTAGGTTTTATTTATTTATTTATTTATTTATTTATTTATTTATTTATTTATTTATTTAATTGTTCCAGTACAGTTGTCTCCATTTTCCCCCACCATTCCCTCACCCCAGCCATTCCCACCTTCCACCCTCGATCCTACCCCACTTTAGTTTGATATGAAAATGAGAGCACTATTGTTTGAAGAAGTCACTGTCAGTCTAGTGATACTCCCAGGTGGGCCTGACATTTGACAAGAGGAACTTCCAGTTCACATGAGTCTGTAATTGGTGAATTTGACTTTTTTACACCTAATTAATTTTTTCTTTCAAGTTTCAAATTGTAAAAGCACTATAGCATTTGTTAGAGAAAATTTGGAAAATAGAGAAAATTATTACCCTTGATTCTCTAACAACTATCATTTCTGTCATTTGTCATGAACATGTTCTTTCATAGTTGTTATACAAGGGGGTTTATCCTCTAATTATCTTCTGGAGGGTGGGCCCCTTGTAGTCCAGGCTTATTCTGCTAGGTGAGTGTTGTAGGAACCCATCTGTATCAGTGTACCAGCTGGTGTTGTTGTGAGAGGCAGTGTTTGTCTTCAGTGAATGTTTTTTGAAGACTTTTTCAATGTGTTTGCCTATTTCATGGTGGCTGATTTGTGAGAGCAGCTGCCCACATTCTGCTGAGTGTTCAGCAGTTTTTGCCTGAAAAACACATGGCCCCCATGGCCCACTATGCACCTGACCGTCCCCCCCAGTGACTTTTTTTTGTTGTTCCCCTGGATGAAAAAAGCCCTCAAAGGGAATATTTTGCTGACATGGGAGAGGTGAAACAAAAAACATCAGAAATACTAAAAGGCATCAAAATTGGGTTCAAAAACTGTTTTGAGCAGTGGAGGGAAAAAAGTCTCGCTAAGTGTATTACATCAAATGGAGAGTACTTCGTAGGTGACTTAAGTTTAAACATGTAAGAATGAATATACATTTTTTTATAAGTAAACTCTGGGTTTTTTGCCCCCCCATACATTTAAGAATTGATGATATTTTTATCAGCAATGATAAAAAGGACAAGCAAAGTGTTCTGAGATAGGCCAGATGTGTTTGTGTCAGAAGGCTACTAGATAAGCAGGCCCTGCTTTTCCCTGTTCCCAGAGGGTCACCAGTTCCATGCTGTTTCTAACAAAGTTCTTGACCAGGTATAGGACTCCATCTTCCTACTGTCCACTTTCCCTGGTTACTTCTGAGCTCAGAGTAGTGTCACAACTTCTTTAAAATTCTCACTTTTTGAAATAGCAGAAGCCCAGCGGCTCCTTTGATATTAGCAACTCACCTCCAAAGCCCCTTAAATGTTGAAGGGTCTTTTATGTCTTTAATAAACACCGGTTGAGAACCAAGAACTTACAGCTGATCTCTGACAGGGTTCAGATCTCTTGCTGTCTGTATACCTATTTCTTGGGAAGGTACTTGACCTTCATAAACGTGCTTGCTCCAAATTCATTTGGTTCACTTTTTCACTTGTGGGATAACCTATTTAATACCTAAGTGTTTCTTGTTTGTATTGACTTCTTATATTTTTAATTCTCACCTGAGGACAATTTCATTGATTTTAGAGAGAGAGGAAGGGTGAGGGGGAAAGAGAGCGTGAGAAACATGGATCAGTTGCCTCCTATATTTGTCTCAACCGGGGATCGAACCTCTTGGTGTATGGGAATGATGCTGCAACCAACTGAGCCACCTGGCCAGGGCTGTATTAACTTTTCATGTTACCTTTAATTGGTCACAATGATGGGCACACCAACAGAATATTTCTAGAGTACATTAGAGTAAGGAGGGACTGGTATCAGATAATGATGTCATGAGAATTCAAACTACAGTAGTCACCATGGAAACAGATGGGATAGATGCAAGAAACATTTCAGTGAAAGGTACATAAATGGGCTTGTTGACTTATTAGATATAGGAAATAAATACCTGACATTGGAAGGAAAAAATGAGTTGGATTTTTCTTTGTTTCCCCAATAATTCTTGGTATTTGTAATAAAAAGGATTAATCAGTGATGCCTACAAGGATTTAGATGAGGATTACTAGGAAAATGGTGATGCTTCTCACAGAAAGATGGAAGTTAGGCTATTTCTTAAGCCTCACTATGCTTACTTCCTCTTCCTTACCTATCATGAGATTCCAGAATTAGATCATTACTAGCATTACTAGTCGTTGTGTTTGGCAACAGTTAGTTTACTGGTTTCAAAGTCTTCCCTTTGGTAGAGAGGATCAATGCAGATGCTCTCTACAGCTGAGTAACTTCTCTCTCACTGTCAGTGTATTGGTGCCTTGACTTCATCATATCAAGCTTCAATTCCCCGGCCTGACAACGTACTTAGTAATGATTGTGTGCTGCATTTTAACTTGACCTTTTCTATGCAAATGAAAGTCCCTGAGATAGGTTCCTAAGGTTAGTCAGATGGAGAGATTTGAGTTCTTCAGAGTCATCACTTTGTGCATTTATTATTGTCATTGTTTTTTTAAACTTAACAAACATAGTGCTTACTATGTGCTAGGATCTGTTGAGTGTTTATAAATATCGTTAACTCATTTGATCCACATAGCAATTGTATATAAGCAGGAACTATTATCAACCCATTATTCCCATTCAGAGGATGGGAAAGCTAAGTTCTAGAGAGGTGAGTCATTTGCCTGAGAGCACATAGCTTGTAAGTGGTGCAGTGCAGCTTTAGACCCAGGCAGATGGCTCCACAGTCCATGCTCTTAATCACTACATCATGCCGGGAAGCCTGTTCTTGTTCATTCATTTTTTCATTCCTTCCTTCCTTCATTCTTTTTTTTCTTTCTTTTTTTTAGAGCAATGTTTTTTTGACTAACTCAGCAGCTTTTTTTTTAGATTTTATTTATTTTCAGAGAAGGGATGGGGGGAGACACACACACACACACACACACACACACACATCAATGTGCAGTTGCTGGGGGCCGTGGCCTGCAACCTAGGCATGTGCCCTGACTGGGACTCGAACCTGTGACACTTTGGTTCGCAGCCCACACTCAATCCACTGAGCTACACCAGCCAGGGCACCTTCATTCTTTTTTAATGCCCATTCTTCACACTTACCTCCACTCTACCCTTGTAGCAACCATTCTAATTTATTTGATGTATATCATTCACTTGGTGTGTTCTTAATACATGTATACTAATGTTTTGTGCACAGGTAGTTTTAATATATATTAATCTGTTATAATTCTCAGTTTCTTTATTTTGATCTCAAAAACTTTTCGAGGTACAGTCATGTTACTGCTTTATATCCAGTATATTGCTTCTAATGCTTCATAGCACTTAAGTCTAGCTACATTTTCTTTAGTCTTGACCCAAGGATATGTTTATTGATTTGAGAGAGAGAGAGAAACTTCAGTGTGAGAAAGAAACATTGATCAATTGCCTTCCTTACGTGCCCTGACTGGGGATCAAACCCACGACCTAGCTATGTGTCCTGACCCCAAGTTGAACCTGTATCTTTTTGGTGTATGGGACGATGCTCTAACTAAGTCACACTGGCCAGGACTAAGCCTAGCTACATTTTTTGTTAATGTGATTCAAGATCAATTTTCTAATAATACTAACCCCCCAAATAACTAAACTTTATCCCAGAGACATAGATAAAAGTCTTAAGATTGGTAGTTATTTTGGGGGACAAAAAGTTACTTTGCCTTGGGTGATGGGCACACGATACTGTGTGCAGATGATGCTTGTTGAGTTATACACTTGAAACTGCATGGTTTTGTGCGCCAATATCGCTGCAATAAATTCAGTAAATAGTAAAAAGGGGGGGAAATATTGGTAGTTACTGGTTATAACCCCAGAGTTCTTCACCCACTGGTTGATGTTTAACAAGGTAGTTGACATCTTCAAACTTTCCTCATCATGGACAGTTCAGTTAAGAGTTGGGGCCCTGAACACTTGGCATAGTGAGATAAAAATGCTTTATAATAAAACATACTCATAGCTATCAGGAATCATCAATGAAAATGTGAAGGATAAAGGAGAGACCACAGGGCATAACTGTAGAATCAACCTAATTTTATTATATATTATTTATTGTATAGTATATTATGTATAGCTATACACATATAGTTAGACCATTAATTCTGCCTATTGGTTCTCAATAAGTAAATAAATGTTCATGATACAGTGAACATTAAATGAAGAGAAACCTTTCAAACAGCCTTTATGTTTTGTTATATGGGAAACTATATATAGTCTGCAAATTACAAGTGGATTATATACCATTGGATCATTTGTAAGTGAATTGTTTGGAACTGAGAACAATATTGTCTGCTAAATATAATGGATATTTTTACAGGGTGACTTGAAAAAGCTCATTTAATGTATAATGATGTACTAGATATGTGCAATGAAAAATAACAAAAACTGTTGCAATTCAAATAAGGGAAAGTTGAGAAAGCAAACTAATACTTTAAAAAGCAAAGTATATGACCCAAGCATTTAATGCTCGTTATTTAATCGTATATCATCTCTATGAAATAGGTTTTCTTCCCATTTTACAGTTGAGGAAACTGCAGTTCAGAACGGTTAAGCAACTTGCACCAAGACACATAGCTAATAAGTGGTAGAGATGCAATTCCAACCATAGCCTCTTGGACTCTGAAGCACTTGTGCTTTCTGTTGTATCATGCTATTGAGACAAAATCATGTATTGAGGCAAAGTCAATTTAAATAGTATTGACTATGAGATCGTTATTTATCTTAAATTCTGATGTTTGAGCAACAGGAGCTTAGAATGGTTGAATAGTAATAGAAAGATGTTTGGGGGCATTCTGAAAGTAATCTCTGACAACGTTCAGGGTAGATGTCTCAGGCTCTTGCATTTATATGTCCCATTTTATTTCTTAGTCATCCCTTTTCTTTTCCTTGATATGAGGGTCTCACTAGCACTACTATTAATGCTTATCAGCCCTAATTTGGGCCATTTCCAGGGCTCCTAAATGGAATGGAGAGTGACATTCCTTTAGATAATTAGGCAGGAATTGAATGAAAAAGGAGAAGGCAGAAGGGGACTAAAGGAGAATGTATGTCATAAAATTGCTTAAAATGGGATTAGCTACGCTATAGCAGCATAGAATGAATGAAAATGGAAGAGGTTCTGCTTTGCACAATCGTAGGGAGGAGAAGAAAACCTGTGGTAAGGAAGGGATATTGTGTGTAAAACTTTCACTGGCTACAAGAAGACATCCTCCCATGACAGATTATTTGTCTTCTAGAAAGGCTGAGAGACTGGTGGAAATAGAGGGGATCCTTGTGTACCTGGCTGATTTTCCCCTGCCCCATATAAATCAGATCTTTGTAACTTGTAGGGTTTCCCTACAGATAAGTAATAATCTATAAGATTAACTTATCTTGTAAATGATCATTAAAAACTAATTTTAGATGACCTTTTGCACTGATGTTTGATTGCTTCTACTTCTATGTTTGATGCAATAATTTGTTTTCAGAGTGTACAGTTACTTTATGACATAATTCAGTCTTAGATGGAATTCATATTGGATATTCACATTGATAGATAACCTTTGTTTTAATCACTGGAATGAAGCATGTAATCTGTACTATAACTACATAATTCAGTGAAAACATTTAAAAACTCATGTCTGTGATCGAAATATTATTTCATACTCTTTGAATATAAAATGTGTATTTTTCCCAAGTAAGACATTCTGTTTCATTTAGAATATGTTGGGGGTAGGTTTAATGTCATTTCATATTCAAAATAAAGTGCTCATGAAAATTTTGACTTATAGATGGAAGAAGTTGGAATCACTGAACATGTAAAAGGAGATAACCGCAAGTTTGAAATCTGGTATGGTGGGAAAGAAGAAATTTATATTGTCCAGGTTGGTCATTTAAAAATTACTCTAGTTATATTACAAAACTTCTCATTCTTCTCATGTAGGTAATTTGAATATTGTTTCATTGTTATTTTTTGTGATGTAGTTAAATACTTTTTTAGTGACTTTTTTTAACTTGAGATATATATGCCTATGGTCCTTTCTAAGGCTTTAAGTGTTTGCAACCTTACTAGGAGATTTATGAATTATAGCTGATAGCCAAAAGCTTGCCAGGGGCTTCTCTGTCCCCATCAAGTTTCTAGGGTTACAGATTGATAGTAGTTCTGAGTTCCTCTTGTGCTTGATGTTTGGAAAGCACCTGATTACGAGACATGACAATGTGATGACTCAGACTTGATCATTGTTTCTGAAGCCTATAGATAAAGCCCTGGCCAGATGTGCTGTAAGGTCCAACCTGTTTGAGGGAAGGGGAGAGGAATGAGGACATTTCAAGAGGATGTTTTCATTTCAATATTTGTATCAGGACTTGTCATGGGTGAATGTGCTGTTATCTGTTGAAAGTGCCCAGTGTAGTTTTTTCTTGGTTTCAATTCTGTACTAGGTGATTACAATCTATAAAATGTTTTCTTGGTTTGATTGAGATATAGGAATTCCTGTTATCATTTGTTTTTAATCCTCACCCAAGGATATATTTATTGATATGAGAGGGAGGGAGAGAGGGAGGGAGGGCGGGAGGGAGGGGGAGAGAGAGAGAGAAGTATCAATGTGATATCAGTGTGAGAGAGAAACATTGATTGGTTGTCTCTCATATGTGCCTGGACCAGGGATTGAATCTGCAACCTAGGTATGTGCCCTGACCTGGAATTGAACCTACAAACTTTTGATGTACATGACAATGCTCTAACCTACTGAGCCACCTGGCCAGGGTACCTGCTATCTTTTAACAAACTTATCTTGGAAGTAAAGGAAAGCTATTTAAGGAAGCTTGCATGCTATCACCATCAAGATTACTCTGCAATAGATTGTCTTTTCAGAAACAGTAGAACTTGTTTTATTTTACTGAAATTAAATATAAAAACATTTATATTTTTATCATATTTTATTTCAAAGATTTTATTTATTTCTAGAGAGAGGGGAAGGGAGGGAGAAAGAGAGGGAGAAAATCATCTATGTGTGGTTGCCTCTACCAGGGACCTGGCCCACAACCCAGGCATGTGCCCTACTGGGAATCAAACTGGTGACCCTTTGGTTCGCAGGCTGGCACTCAATCCACTGAGCCACACCAGCTAGGGCAAAAAACATTTATATTTTTAAAAGAACAGTCACACAAAGAAAAGTAAGTGAGATTATATTTCACATTTCCTATGAGTGTCATTATTTAAGGGCAATTTCAAAATGTTTTTTAAAAGATTTTATTTATTTACTTTTAGAAAGAGGGGAAGGGAGGGGGAAAGAGAGTGAGAGAAACATCAATGTGCAAGAGATACATCGATCAATTGCCTTTGGTATGCCCTCCAGCTGAGGACCTGGCCCACAACCCAGGCATGTGTTCCAACCGGGAACTGAACCAGTGACCCTTTGGTTCGCAGGCCGGCACTCATTCCCCTGAGCCACACCAGCCAGGGCTCAAAATGGTTTTGACTATTATTTCATCTAATTTGATGGTTACTTACTTGCTTCTTAGAAGTCCAAAGAATCAAAATGTTAGAACTTGAATATGTTGGTTCAGGATTCAGGTTCAGGTTTATGCTTGATACACCAGATTACACTGGCTTTTTAAGGGAAACATGTCTTTTTCTTCCCCTTTTTAAAAATCTTTAGGCTTCAAACATAGATATGAAGATGATATGGTTAAAAGAAATAAGAAGTATTTTGTTGAAGCAACAAGAACTTATGACAGGTACATTTAAGCATGCATTTTTCAGAACCAGTACTGTAATAGTTCATTGACTCAGAGTTTATTACAGGGAATGGGGTTGATATTTATTTTATACTATTTACAATGAAAGGGTTTGTTAAACTAATTAGTAGGAGATGAAGACTCCTGGGGTTGTATAAACTATTTTGGAGAATGAACTTGACACTAGAAAATGGACTGTAGTGCTTGAGAAACAGCGGTGAAATCATATACCAAGAAGACTGTGTCATTTCTGAGTGTTTCCCATGAGACAACTGTTGAGGACCTCAAGTATTATTATTATCTTCATGTTGGGCCGGGGTTCCAGTAATACAGTTGCACTCCTTGAATGAAATATTCTATTATTTGGTTCTTTTTCACATCCCAGATTCATACTGGCTTTCCCTCTGGTTATTTCAAGTCTGTGTAGGTTAACTCTTATGGGAATGGGTGGTGTGCATGCACACATGAAAGTCATTGGTCTTCAAGGAAGGAAGAAGTGTGGCTTTTAAATGACACTTATACAAGCTTTCTTTTATTCCACAGTTAAACATCAAGAGCAGTACAATCAGTTACATGAAGATGGCCAACTCTCTTCTCAGCAGAATGATGAGTAAGTGATTATTCTTTAAGAACCACCACTCCCACAAGCTCCTGTTTTCCCTGTGTAACATGAAACACTATTAGTAAAGCATCTCAGATAAAAACTACCTGCCCTTTTAGCAATAATTGATCAAATTCCATAAACATATCATTTTCTCAGTTCTATCCTTATACTTGGAAACTGATACTCCTTAATAGTTATACAATTGTTCCCCTTGATGTTAAAAATAATTCAGTAGTTTGGGCTAAACACAATTACAGATGCTTTGTTCTCAGTACATCAGGGGATGGGGGGATTTGGCATGTACATGTAGGCTTACCAAAAAGTGGCTGCACTCATGGATTTCTCTTCAACATATTTTTGGTCACCTTCTATCTCCTTGGAGAAACAGTTGTAAGAGTGGTGAAGGACTGGCAGCTTCTACTGGCCCACAGCTTTGTGGTCCCTTGGTGGAGACCACTTGCTGGCAACTTGGCCTCTCTTTCTGTGTAGTTAGAGATGAGGTACTGATTCTCGGAGTGAACTCTGCCTGGACACAACCATGAAGTCTTTGAGGAAGGTAGCAGTCCAAAACGATAGCACTGATGAGCACTGGTGTAGAGATGTGGTCCTTGTATTTAGTCACTAGGAATGCTAAAGGGTAGAGTTTCCATAGAACATTTGCAGACATGCAGAAAGATTCACCACACTGATTCCAGGGTTTTGTCTCAGAAATTTAGCATGCATCCTCTGTCTGATAGAGGGATCGTTAAATGACTTACTGAAAATACTCTTTCTGTCTCTGTTGTACATCATCTTTCAGAGACAGCTAAAATCAGGTGCAAAAGTGTGTTGGTTCATCTGGGGCTTTAGGCGAACCATTTAAAAGTCACATTAGAAGTCTTTATCTTCAGCCCTGGCTGATGTGGCTCAGGAGATTGAGCACTGGCTTGCAAGCCAAACGGTCACCGGTTCAATTTCCAGTCAGGGCACATGCCTGGGTTGCAGGCCAGGTCCCCAGCAGGGGGCGTGCAGGAGGCAAACACACATTGATGTTTTTGTCCCTCTCTTTCTCCCTCCTTTCCCCTCTCTAAAAATAAATAAATAAAATATATTTTTAAAAAGAAGTCTTTATCTTCACAACACTTAATCACTTGTCATATATTATAGAAGTAAAATCTTTAGATTTCATGTAGTATTTGACTTCATAGTAGCTGATAGAACTCAACAGTATTAATCAGTTTAAAGTTTCATCGTCATTTACATATATCTTATTTAATTAATTAAAACTAACATTTCATAGAGTAACAGGGATTTTTTGTTGTTTGTATTTTTCCAACATTGTTAGGTTGTAGTTGACAATTAAAATTGTGTATATTTAAAGAGCACAACTTGAGGACTTAAACTACATACACATTGTGAAATATTCACCATAGTTAAGGTCATTAACACATCCATCACCTCATATAGTTATCCATGTGTGTGTGTATGTGTGTTGAGAACATTTAAGATCTACCTCTTAGCAAATTTCAAATATACAGTTAAATATTGTGTTGGAATTTTGAAACTTATACCCACGTTAGGTTGTGAGGGAGTAATTTTTTTCCTTTCATATTAAAGAGAGGCCCTGCTGGCTTGGATCCTAGGAATTAAGCTTTCCTATATTATGAACTATTACCACACAGAGAGGGGGAGTTAGTTGTGTTTGAATGGGTTCTTAGGGTATGTCGTTGACACATGGCATCAGTAGAAAAAAAAATTTTAAATTTTTTATTACTTGTGGACTGTACCAGAGCTCACTTAGTTTTGCATATTTACTATTTCAGAGGGCATCAGGAGGCTTGTATAGGCCCCCAGGAAACTGAACCAGAGCACACCAGCACTGTGGTAGGGGTCTGTAAGGCAGTCCCGGCAGTTCAGGCAGAAGCCAGTACAGGTACGTGTCATGGCTGTCCGAAGGTCAGATTCACTGCTGTGCAATTCTTTTCTCCCATTGTTAATTTGGAAAATCTACCTGTCTATTACTCTTATATAAAATAAAACAAAACCCATTTTTATAAGGCTTGCATGTCTTGCATGTGCAAGATGCTGGCGGACACTGCAGAGCAGCGGTTCTCCTAGTGCAGTTCCTACACCAGTAGCATCAGCATCACCTGTGAATGTGTAAGGATGGTGAATTCTCTGGCTTTTTCCTAGACCTTCTGAATCAGAAACTCTGGGAGTGAGATGCAGCCATCTGTGATTTAGTCAGATCTCCATGTCAGTTGTTTTGATGCATTTTCAAGTCTGGGAACTCCTTCTACACAGGATACAGGGTTGAATAAAACACATACTGGCTTAAAGGAATGCAAACTTTACTCATCATAGGTTTCATGAATAGAAAAGAGTCATTTACAGCTGGAATAGTTTTTAATGCAAATTGTTTCACTTAAACTGGTTTCAAAAATTGTTTAACTCAACAAATATAACACAGCCTGTGTTTCAGGAATTGTGCAAAACCCTGGGCATACAGTGTAATTAAGATACTCTCAGGCCCTGACCTGTGTGGCTCAGTAGGTTGGACATCATCTTGCAAAGCAAAAGGTCTCCACTTTGATTCCCAGTCAGAGCACATGCTTGGGTTGCAGGTTCAATTGCTGGTCAGGGCACATATGAGAGACAACCAATCGATGTTTCTCTCCCTCTATTTCTCCCTCCTATCCCCTTCCTCTAAAAATAATTAAATAAAATCTTTAAAAAATGAGATGCACTCAGCTGCCATCCCCATGAAGCTAAGAACATAGATAATTCAACAAGCAATGAAAATTAAATGTGATGATTATTTTAACAGAAGTACAATGTACTGTGGAAGAATCCCGTGGGGTTACCTAAACCACTCTGGGATCAACAGCAGAGACCTCTGGAGGAATGCCTAACAGAGTGCGTGATATGCACTACTTAAATGTGATGGTCTTTAAAAACAAATAATGATAATGCTGCTCAACTTTCAGTTGTCAGTGTAAAGGTCACTTCCGTCAGGTCATCTATGCTGCGGTCTCCAGAGAAGTCAGGAGAGAGACTAGTATCAGTGCTATCATTTGATAGGTGTGGAAACCAAGTCAGAAAAAGTTGACACAACTGTTCCAAGGTTATGTGAATGGTTTAGTGTTTAGATTGGCCACATTGAAAGTCTATTAATTCTCTGCCTATATTGATTGCTTAATTCATATCAGTCAAAATATTTTATTAAAGAAGTACCTGTTAGATTCAAGGTTCTTATGCAACATGCAATGTATAACACATGGTCTCTGCCTAATAAGAGACTTAAGACAAGTCAAAAATGATATTAATAAGTAGAATGTTATAAGTGCTATTTGAATAGGCCAATAAAATGCTATAGAAAAATTTGGAAGAGATTATTTTCTATAAGAAGGGGTAACTGTTCTTTGGAATGTTATTTAACTTACTGTTTTTAATAACTCTCCCACAAACCCCAATTTGAAACCATCCTAATAAATAAAAGAAGTATATGACATTCCAGGCCCTTTCTGAAATATCAGCAATTCTGAAATAGTTCAGTCTAATTGGAGGTTCTATTATAGGGAGATACTATTCTTGGATCACTGTAGCCTTGATTATTGCTGTAAGTTTACTTCTCTCCTTGTGGTGGACCAGCATCATTAAGTAACTGCCACCCTCTTATTGTTTGGACTGCAGAAATCTCTGAAGGACCTGAGACATGGGTAAACGACTATTTCTACTCTTCCTATGTTGACAATGAAGAAGAAAGGCCCCTAATGGTTAGTAATGACATATTAAAAGAAATAAATGGGAAGTCTTGAGATAATTTTACTGATAAAATAGGTGAAGTACACAGGGGCAGTGTTTTGTCCGTATCCTTGAGGTCATTAGGTATATGGCATGGCCAAAGGTTGGAAACAGGTATGAACAGTCAACTTATTGGAGCTATATGTGGAGTTCCTAGTGAAGCTGATGAGATGAATAGTCAATCATTCCAATTCTCCATACATTGACCAGTGTTGTCTTTAATTCAGCTTCACCACTGTGTTTTCAGTGGAGGCACATGAGACAAAGTCAGAGAACAATGGAAAGTCAATTAATACTTTAAAAATCAATTTAGATTCCAGATTGGAAAATATAGGAAATAAATGTTACACATTAAAAATTCTAATAAAATCTGGGGAACAGGGTTTAGTGGGCTATCAAAAATGTACTAATGATACTAAATCTCAGCATATTAGAGCAAGGGGTTACCCTATAAAACTAAGGGAAGTTGCTTTAGGGTAAAAGTGTTGTATAGAAGTAGTTTGCAATATTGTTAGGATCCTCTTGGGTTATTAGAGGGGAGTTAGACTTTTTAGGGTATATCTTCAATTTTCTGAAGTCACTGGCTTGTAGGGTAGGAATGGTGCATTGTACTGGACTGCTCCTTGGTGCCCTTCAGAACACCAACATCAATTTGGTGGTTTTAATCTCGAGGTAAGGGAATAATGGCATGGAGGACCACAAAGCTGCAGAGCATCAGCCTGAATGATTTCTTTCAAAAAGTACTAGAGTGTTCTTTCTACTAATAATACAGTGACCATAAACAGAGTTGTTGGGCAGTTTACAGTTTACAATATAATTTCCCATTTAATATTCACGGAATTATTGAGAGGCAGAGCAGACCTTTATTACCTCCAATACACAGAGGAGGAACCTGAGGCTCAGTGCTGCTAAGAGGTTTGTCCAGTGTTAATTGTCTAAACCAGCAGCACTGAAACTTTTTAATGCAGGAACCCTTTACATTCTTAAACTTCATTGAGAATCCCACAGAGCTCATGTCTCCATCTGTTGATATTTACCATATTAGAAATTAAAACTGGTAAATATAAAGTTATTTATTCGTTATCTTTAATAGTACGAAACCATAGTAAGTTCATGTAAATGACATTTTAATTAAAATTTACATATTTCAAAACACAACATTTAGTGAGAAGAGTGGTATTTCAAATATTTTTGCAAGTCGCTTTAACCCACTTTTGCATTCAGTCTGTGTGCTCTCACACATCAGGTAGCCCCTAGAAAACTCCACTGTATACTTATGAGAGGATAAGAGTGAAAAAGCAAATAATGTCTTCATAGAGGTTGACCTTGCAGACCCTTGGAAAGGTGTCGGGAACCCCCAAAGCTCTGCCTCCTAAACTGAGAACCACTGGTTTAGACTAATAATAAAAAGAACTTTCATTTTTTTAGACTAATCATGTCTGAGGATGGTAGTTGTTCAGATGTGAGTGAAAAACCAGGGGAAGGCATTTGGGGTTTAAATGTTTGCTGTAGGTGCTCTATGAGGGGATTGTCAAGAACTGACAAAATCATCAGTAAGCATTTGTCCAGCTGTGGTATCAGAAAATAACAGAAATATGCAAAACTGATTAGTGATTTAATCATAGGGGATGGGAATGTAGAAACACCTATTAGTTTTCTTCTATTCTCCCAATAGTTCCCCAAGGTGTGTTACTAAGGAACACATACCAAAAAGAAAAACCCCAAAACAAAAAACAAAACACCTACAATTAAATGCACACAAAAAAGACACTCCCACAAGCAAAATGGGCTCCAATGAGCTGCTCTTTTAGCCTTGCTTTATCAAATCAGAAGTCAGAAATAATAGGTGCTGCTTACCTCCTAGAGACTGTCGGGGATGACTCTCCCATTATGACGAAGCCACTATGTTAAATGGAAAATAGCTCTTTCCTACCTGCTCCTCAGACCATTTGATAAAAAGTACTGCTCAAAAGACATTCAGCGCAAGTGACATGGATATTGTTTTTAGGTTAATTCTTTTGGATATGTAAAGAATCGACATCACATAATTATTTCTCTTCTTTCATTAAAAAATTTAATTATGGTACTTTTACTTTTTGAAATTATGTATTCAATGTGTTAGATATTGTGCTGGAAACATCTCCAACTACTTTTGGACATGAGATTTATTATTTCTTCTCCATCTACTTTGTAATTAAATGCAATTGGTGTGCCTTGTATTTTTTAGCTTATTAATGAATTAAGTTAAAATTATAGCTGCAAAAGGTTAGAGCCAAGTAAAGTACAACATTTAACCTGCTTTTGTTGGACCCAGAGCTTTTGTGCCCATTATTTTTACCTGTGCCAAACAGTATAAAGACCAGAAATCCTTTGAGGGCATTAGTAAATCTTTGTTTAGAGCCATTGCATTTTGTATGTGCCAAGATAAATTTTTCATGAGAGTAGATTACAAATAATAGTATTTAAAAATTATGTTTGTTTTTTCTGGAGTTATGCTTATGATTTATGTAACTTAAAATTAGTTCTGTGTAGCTCTGTTATTTTCTGTGTAGTTCATGGTGTAATTCTCTTTTTGCAAATTAAAGCGAGTTCTTCAGGTTAAATAAACACATGTTCTGCTTTTTTCCCCATCACAAACTGCTTCATGTTTGTTTGTTCCTGCAAAGCTGCTGCAGCTACCACATTTGCCATTGAAGTACCACATGAGTTCTTTGTCAGAGAGCATGCAGTTGTGCAAGTAGTTTTGCAATCAAGTTTATAATGTAATTTTTCAAAACAACCTTACAGCCTCCAGACAAATATAAAGCCCTAGCAGATTGCAGGAATAGAGGCTCAGAAGACCTCCTGATTAGAAATGGAGATGTCATTCAGCTTCTCCATGAGGATGTTGAGGGTCAATGGTAGGTGTGTTCTCCATGCCTGTGATGACCTCTGCCTGGGGCACATGGATATCTAATCAAATATTCTGCTTTACTTGTATCTTTGTTATACAGTCTCAAGAAGCAGAAATATCATATTTCTTATCAGTGTTTCATTTTCATTGCTTCAGCCATGCCTTTATAGCTCACTGAAAGGAATGTTAACCTTTGGTGAGTGAAAAATGCTTTGAAAGAATGAAATGCTGTGAGTCTGCATGCTCTTTTGTGGTTTGCCTTTGGCTCAAACATTCCAGCTGATACATCTGGCTTTGTAATGGCTACGGATTGCATTATACATGGTAATTTAAGCCATTCATTAATTCATCACACCTTTAATGAATGCCTATTGTGTGCCAGGGACCATGCCTTGCTCCTGTACAACATAGTCACACTTCCCTTTATCAATTCAGATAATTGACTTTTTTTTTGGTCTTATCCTATCCTTATGCATTTGACTTCATGTAGCACCAATTGCAAAGATGGTTCTGCCAAATGTACTGTTTAATTTTAGAGACCCCAAAGCAGGAAGGAATATTGTTTGGAAGAGGACTAAATGAAGCTTCCACAAATTTTGGAAATTTTATATGAAATTATTATTGTGTCAATAACTTTACTGAAATTCTATATTGACCATATACTCTGACCCTAAAGGTGGGTCACACAAGGGTGAAAATGAATGATGTGTCATTAAAACAATAACCATTTTTGCTGGAAACCTCAATCCTTTGTAGGTTACTCAAAAGACTTAAGAACAGTGTCTTTGAATACATGCAATAGCTTTGTGAAAATTTGAGCTGTAATGCAATGTCTTTGTTTTTTATTAGCTTATATCATCATTGTTGGCTACTAATTCATTTATTATTTAGGTTGGTGAAAAATCTAAACAGAAGAAAAAAATGCCTGATTCCAGGGAACAGTTTGCAGATTTTAATCGGTGACTATAGGTTTCGGAATGCCAGAGTTACAGGTATAATATGAACAGACTGTATACTATTTGTTTAAAGGTTAAAAGTTTTCAAGCTTTACCAAGTATAAAATTGGCATAGGGTAAGAACCTCTTTGTACTTAGAAATAAAGCTGCAAATATATTACATTAGCTAGGATTTAACAAACTTGTTAAAACTTTTCCCTACAAGGTTGATAGGTTTGAAGGAGTTTCAGATACTATGGTGTCTTTATTTTTATTTTTATATTTTTATCGTTGTATAATTACAGTTGTCCCCATTTCTTCCCCATTACTCTCCCCTGTCCCACCCGCCCTCACCTCCCACATCTAATCTTTCCCCCTTGTTGTCTTTGTCCTTGAGTCCTTTATACATGTTCCTTCACTCGACCTGGCAGGGAAGATACCATGATCATGTGGTGTCTTATAAGAGATCCTTCAGGACTAAATACTGATAAGATACTTTTAAGTACCAGCTTTACTACCCAAGAATGCTTTACCAGTGTGTTTTTACTTAGTGCGTAGAACATGACCTTTTCTTATGGTAGGTTTCTGCTGCACACACACACTTCTCTGAGTCTGTGCCCAAGATTTAATGTGTGAAGATAGTATGCAGCAATGAGAACTAACCTAGTGTTCTATTCTATTAATTCAAACCTTCATAAAATTCCTGCATACAGGCCCATATTTTTGTAAATTTTCTCCCTGATACTGAGCTATCTATGAAAAGGCAGCATGAAAGAGAAACCAGACTTGTTTGTGAACAAGATTATTATTTCTATATGTATGTATTTCCAATTTGGACTTGTATCTAAATTCCAGGTAATGGTACATTGTATTTAGATAAATCTAATAGAGCAGGAGTAACTTATTTGGTTCCAAATTTCATTTAATGGCATAAAATAAAATCAAAGGATGATAGGGCTCAATGTAAATATTGGGTTACATGGGAACCCCACAAATAGTCACTTCTTGTTTGGTTGTTTTTTGGGTACTCCAAACCTGAGTCACCTTTCAGATGTTTTCTGCACTAACTGTTGAATTATTTAGATAATTATTGAATTATGGAATTATTTAGATAATTAGTAATCAGAAGAATCTGATATACCAACAATCTGAATTAAGTAACATTCATTTAAAAACCCAACAACTGCAGAATACACCATTATTTTTAAGTATATGTAAAACATTCACCAAGATACAGCATATGCTAGGTCATAAAGTAAGTCTCAATGAATTTCAGAAGATTGGAATTATATAAAATCTCAACGGTATTATATTAGAAATCAATGATCCATAAATATTTGGACATTAAATGCCACAAATCTAAACAACATGTGGAGCAAAGAAGAAAAAGGACAAGAGAAATTAGAATTTTTTCAAGTTTGATAAAAATGCAATATATCAAAATTTGCAGATGCAGCCAAAGAGGGTGGGAAATGGATAACTTTAAATACTTGTATCACACACTTAAAATTCAGTGTAATTCCCCATATTAACATAATTAAGGGGAAATTTTTGTAATCTTTTCAATAGATGCAGAAAAGTACTTGACAAAACTCGACTCATTCACAATAAAAACCCTCACCAAACTATCAATCTGATAATGCACTATTGTGAAAAAATATAGCTAACATCATACCTAATGGTGAAATATTGAAAGTTTTTCCCCTAAGATTGGGAACAAGGCGAGGATATTTACTCTCACCATTTCTATTCAACATTTTTATTGGAAATCCTAGCCAGTGCCATTACTCAAAATAAAGAAATAAAATGATTATAAAAGAAGATGCAACACTTGTGCTCAGGAGATCATGTCTATGTACAAAACCATTAGGAATCTATACACAAATAGACAATACTAGAAGTAATAAGTAAAAGCAAAGTAATTCTTTGCCTTTCTGTATACAGTTTAGAGTAAACTTGTCTTTACTCCCCCAACCCCTGCAATGAACCTGCTAAAATTTTGGTTGCATTAACTCTACAGGTCAATTTGGGGACATGGACTTCTTAACGCTGATATTTCTAATTCTTGAACATGATATATATTCCTCCCTTTCTTAGGTCATTTTAAATATATCTCAGCAATGACTATCAGTATGGAAGCCTCAGACATCTATCGTTAGATTGATTTCTATTTATTATCTGTTTTATATTACCAATGTAAATGGTGTTGTTTCATAAATTTCATTTTAAATTCTCTGTTGCTAAGATACAGAATTACAATTTATTTTGTATAATGACTTTGTATACTACGGCCTAATAAAATTAGGGGCCAAATGTAATTTTAGGACTGTATAAATGTAACTACTACCTAACTAGGGGCAAGGAGCTCTACATTCGGCCCTTTGAAGGCAACCACGAGGCTGATGTGGCCCCCGGTGAAAATGAGTTTGACACCTGTGCTATAAGGCTATACAGTAAATAGAGTGTGGTATAGAAAAACAGCTCAGAAGTAGACCCACATACACATAACCAATTAATGTTCAGTCAAAGTGTCAAGTCAACTGAATGGAGAAAGGAATATTGTTTATCAAATGATGCTGGTGCGGGACTTCTGGCCAAGATGGAGGCATAGGTAGACACACTGTGCCTCCTCGCACAACCAAAAGAAGGATGACAACAATTTAAAAACAACAGCCAGTACCGGTGGAAAACTGAACTGTATGGAAGTCCTACAACCAAGGAGTTAAAGAAGAGACATTCATCCAGACCGGTAGGAGGGGTGGAGTTGGGCAACTGGGGCGGAGAGGACTCGCAGCAAAGTGACGGCTGGCAGAACCCGGGTGCGCAGGGTGGTGGCTGGCAGGCCTAGCGAGGTGGTGGATTGTGGAGTGTGGCTCGGTGTGCATGGAAGCGAGTGGACCCACATTCACACACAGTTAACCAGGCAAAACTGGGGAGTGAGACAGACCATGCAACCCAGGGTCCCAGCACAAGGAAATAAAGCCTCAAAACACCCATTGAAAACACCTGTGGGGGTTGAGGTGCCAGAAGAAACTCCCAGCCTCACAGGAGAGTTTGCTGGAGAGACCCACAGGGTCCTAGAATGTACACAAGCCCACCCACATGGGAATCAGCATCAGAAGGGCCCAATTTGCTTGTGGGAAGTGGGGGAAGTGACAGAAATCTGGCAGAGAGTGGAGCAAGTGCCATTATTCCCTCTAAGACTCCTGTCCCATATACAGCATCACAACCCAGCAACTGGGTTGCCCCCCCACCCTGTGAACACCTAAGGCTCCACCCTCACTACATAACAGGCGCGTCAAGACAAAAGGCCCAAACGAAAGATCAAAGCTCCAGAAAAAAATATAACTAAGGGGTGAAGAGGTAGCCAGCCTATCAGATGCACAGGTCAAAACACTGGTAGTCAAGATGCTCACAGAATTGGTTGAATTTGGTCACAAATTAGACGAAAAAATGAAGGCTATGCTAAGTGAAATAAGGGAAAATGTACAAGGAACCAATAGTGATGGGAAGGAAACCGGGACTCAAATCAATGGAGTGGACCAGAAGGAAGAAAGAAACATTCAATCAGAAAAGAATGAAGAAACAAGAATTCAAAAAAAATGAGGAGAGGCTTAGGAACCTCCAGGACATCTTTAAACATTCCAACATCTGAATTATAGGGGTACCAGAAGGAGAAGAGGAAAAGCAACCAGTGGAAAAGTTATTTGAAGAAATAATAAAGGAGAACTGGCTAAGAAAATAGACTTCCAGGAAGTCCAGGAAGTTCAGAGAGTCCCAAAGAAGTTGAACCCGAGGAGGAACACACCAAGGCACATCATAATTGCATTACCCAAGATTAAAGATGAGAGGATCTTAAAAGCAGTAAGATAAAAGGAGACAGTTACCTACAAAGGAGTTCCCATCAGACTGTCAGCTAATTTCTCAAAAGAGACCTTATAGGCAAGAAGGGGCTGGAAAGAAGTATTCCAAGTCATGAAAGGCAAGGACCTACATCCAAGATTGCTCTATCCAGCAAAGCTTTCATTCATAATGGAAGGGCAGATAAAGTGTTTCCCAGATAAGGTCAAGTTAAAGGAGTTCATCATCACCAAGCCCTTATTTTATGAAATGTTAAAGGGACTTATCTAAGAAAAAGAAGATGATCAAAAATATGAACAGTAAAATGACAACAAACTCACAATTATTAACAACCACACTTAAAAATGAAAACTAAGCAAACAACTAGAATAGGAAAAGAACCACAGAAATGGAGATCACATGGAGGGCTATCAACAGGGAAGTGGGAGGGGGAGAGAGGGAAAAGGTACAGAGAATAAGTAGCATAGATAGTAGGTAGAAAATAGACAGGGGGAGGGTAAGAATAGTATGGGAGATAGACTTCCGGCAAGATGGAGGCATAGGTGGACTCACCGCACCTCTAGCCACAACCAAGATTAGAACAACAATTTAGAGGCAGAATAACACCCAGAGCTGACAGAATTTATCTGAATGGAAGTCGGACAGCCAAGAAGTTGAAGTAGACCCGTTCATCCAGACCGGTAGGAGGGGCAGGGAGGAGCAGCTGGGCGGGGGTCGCAGTGCGCAGAGAACTGGGAGAACTGGGATCGCGTAAGGCATCCGGGGCATGCAAGATCACAGTGGATGGACCCTGAGTACGCAAGTGGCAGCTGGCGGACCCAGTGAGGCGGCGATTGTGGACCAGGGCAGAGCGCGCAACCCAGGATCCCAGGGAAGGGACTGAGGTCTCAGGAGAACGGAGCTACCGCCATTGTTCCCTCCCGCCCCCACCCCCACATACAACGTCATAATCTAGTGACTGGGGTGGCCAGCCCCTGTGAGCACCTAAGGGTCCGCCCCTCACTGTAACAGGAGCGACCAGACTGGAGAGAGAGAGAGAGAGAGAGAGAGAGAGAGAGAGAGAGAGAGAGACAGACAGACATGTCTGAAACAGAAAAACAGATCAGTGCCCCCAGGACTCATCCTTTTGAGTGACTAAGAGATAGCCAATCTATCAGATGCACAGTTCAAAACACTGGTGATCAGGAAGCTCACAGAATTGGTTGATTTTGGGCACAAATTACATGAAAAAAATGCAGGTTACCATAAAAGAGATGAAGGAAGATGCACGGAGAACCAATAGTGATGGGAAGGAAACTGGGACTCAAAACAATAGAGGGGACCAGAAGGAAGAAAAAAACAACCAAACAGGAAAGAATGAAGAAATAAGAATTCAAAAAAACAAGGAGAAGCTTAGGAACCTCCAGGACATCTTTAAACATTCCAACATCTGAATTATAGGGGTACCAGAAGGGGAAGAGGAAAAGCAACAGATTGAGCACGTATTTGAACAAATAATAAAGGAGAACTTGCCCATTCTGGCAAAGGAAATAGACTTCCAGGAAATCCAGGAAGCTCAGAGAGCCCCAAAGAATTTGGACTCAAGAAGAAACACACCAAGGCATATCATATATTACATTAGCCAAGGTAAAAATGAAGGAGAGAATCCTAGAAGCAGCAAGAGATAAGGGGACAGTAACCTACAAAGGAGTTCCCATCAGACTGTCAGCTGATTTCTCCCAAGAGACCTTACAGGCAAGAAGGGGCTGGAAAGAAATATTCCAAGTCAATAAAGGCAAGGACCTATATCCCAGATTACTCTATCCAGCAAAGCTTTCATTTAGAATGGCAGGGCAGATAAAGTGCTTCTCAGATAAGGTCAAGTTAAAGGAGTTCATCATCACTAAGCCCTTATTTTATGAAATGTTAAAGGGACTTATCTAAGAAAAGAAGATAAAGAAAAAGCATGTATAGTAAAAGGACATCAAACTCACAATTATGAACAACCACACCTAAAGCAAAACCAAAAGAAACTAAGCAAACAACTAGAACAGGAACAGAACCACAGAAATGGAGATCACATGGAGGGTTAGCAACAGGGGAGTGGGAGGAGGAGAGGGGGGAAAAAGTACAGAGAAGTAGCATAGATTGTAGGTTGAAAATAGATAGGGGGAGGGTAAGAATAGTATGGGAAATGTAGAATCTGAAGAACTTATAAGTATGACACATTGACATGACTAAAGGGGGGGATATGGGTGGGAGAGGGTGTACAGGGTGGAGGGGAGTGAAGGGGGGAAAATGATACAAATGTAATAGCATAATCAATAAAACATATTAAAAAAGAATAGTGTGGGAAATGTAGAAGCCAAAGAACTTCTAAGTATGACACATGGACATGAACTAAAGGGGGGAAATGGGGGTGGGAGAGGGTGGAAGGGAGTGAAGAGGGGCAAATGGGACAACTGTAATGGCATAACCAATAATATATATATATATTTTTTAAAATGGTGCTGGTGCAACTGTATATCCACAAGGTGAAAAAAATGAACCTTTATCCCTTCACCTCACTAGTCCATATACAAAAATTAATTTGGATTGGATTATAGACCTAAACATAAAAAGCTACAATTGTAAAGTTCTTTTTTTTTCTCCAGGAGCAATTACTATTTTTTATTGTATTTTCCTATTACCATTTATCCGTTTTATTCCCCCCTCGCCCCACCGCCCTCAATCACCACACTGTTGTCCACATCCATGAGTCTTTTTTTTTCCTTTTTTGCTTGATCAAAAACAGAACAATATATTCATGGCTGAGTGGTTAACAATGTTTTTTATTGTCTTTCTATTACAGTTGTCCCAATTTTCCTCCATTGCTCTCCCCTGCCTTGCCCATGACCTGCTTCCGCAGTCAATCCCCACCCTATTGTCCATGTGCACGGGTCTTTCATACATGCTCCTTGTCTAGTGCCTTCCCCTTCTTTCCACCATTATCACCCTTCCCCCTCCCTGAAAAAACTAAAAATGGAACTGCCTTTTGACCTGGCAATTCCACTGCTTTGAATATACCCTAAGAATCCTGAAATACCAGTTCAAAAGAACCTATGTATTCCAATGTTCATAGCAGCACAATTTACAATAGCCAAGTGCTAGAAGCAACCTAAGTGCCCATCAGTAAGTGAGTGGGTCAAAAAACTATGGTACATTTATACAATGGAATTCTATGCAGCAGAAAGAAAGAAGGAGCTCCTACCCTTTGTGATAATAATTTCATTTTTATACAGGGCAGAAAAAGCACTAAGCAGAAAAGATAAGTATCAAACAGATATACAAGGAAACATTGCACTTTACAGCATTAAAAATTATGCCCATTAGAATAAGATAAAACCTAAGATGCTAACATTTGGAATACTTCCTAAGCCAACTATGTGTTGTAATGAATCACATTTTCCCCCAAATTAACTGATTCTATCTTGTACTTTAGTATCAGTGTTAATAATTATAGCACAGAGAACATTTTTGGCCTGAAAAGTCACTTGAATATTAACATCATTCTTCATTATTTTGTAGATGCTGCTCTGAGTAACTCAAGGAAACTAACTTCCCCTTGAATTAAAGGAGAATGAATAGACTTGTAAAATTAAGATTTCCTTTGGAGGTGTGAACTAGATTATATTTCATAAAAGTGTTACAGTAAACAGCACAAGAGTCAGGATGATCCTGTGTTGCCCATGACATTCACAGAATCTCCTAAGGACTGAGGTGGACTTCGTCATTCACAGTTTGTCTCATTTTTGCAAGAAGCATCTTCACACCTTCCATTCCCCGCAGGTGAAAAATGCAGTATTTGTTTCCAAGTAGGGTTTTTTTTATGGCATGCATTCAGATTCTATCTAAAAAAATTGGAGATCAATTAGTTTGAACATTTATAGATAAAAGACTACCTGTAATTTTGTTGGTAACTTCAGGAACAAAACAAAAATCCAAAGAGAGAGGAGAGAGAATCAGAAATTTTAAACTACTTTGTTAAGTCATAGTTTATTATTTAATTCTGTTATCTATGTGACTAAAACATACCAAAGGGAGATGTTCTGAAGGACCTCTTTTGCACTTTTGGCTGGTATTTAAGGTTTTCAGAGCTGTCTTATAGTTTTAAAAAGATCCAAAGCTGAAAGTCCTGTAGTTAGGATGTGTTGAAGTTTACATTTTATGCATTGCAATTTAATTTAGATACACTTGTCACAGCTTTAAGTTAAATATTCATGTATGCACAAGAGGTGTTCCTGTAACAACACTCTACTTTTCAGTGTCTTTACTTGCTTTTGAATTGTCTGGAAAAATATCTGTTGTAGTAAAGGTTTTCTTATGTTGTGTTTCTTTCTAGGTTTTTTTTTTTGTTAAAATAATACATGTATAGATGTCTTTTTTTTATGTATGTAAACAGTGTGATGACTTGTTTTAAAGTGCAGGGCCAGCTGTTGCATGCAGTATTGAATTGATGCTTGGAGTAGTTTATATCAAGTCCACTGAAGACAGTGGTTTGAAATTGCTGCCTTTTGAATCATGGATTATGCATTTGTTATCAAGTTGGCATATTAGGTGCATGTTTTTTGATGAAATGTGTTACAATAAACATTTCAATAACTATATAATACAAAAATATCTTATCTTTTAATTAGGTTTGTGTGTCATATCAATATCATAGTTTATGCCAGTGATATCATTTGATGTAACAATTTGTATGACAAACCAGTTGTATTTTGTTCAAAGATACCTGGAAATTATAAATCTTCTCATGTACACTTGCTGGAATTTATGATGGTTGATTTATGAGTTACTCATGAAAATGCCCATATATTTGATATTTTACTTAATGCTTCTGCAAAAATAACAACAAAATGAAATTAAAATTAATTTCTTTTGTGTGCTGATCCTGTGGTTAGAAGACAGAATTGGGAGATAAAATTTTTGAATAACAATGCCCTTCTGCACAAAATGTTTTAATTTCATGGTATTAAACTAGGGATTTTAATCATTTAAGACAATACTGAATTCTATAGATTCAAGTATATAGTTAGAGTCTTTTAATATTTTAATCACTGTACAATGGATGCTTCATTTGTACATGTAACTGCACTGTATTCATTTTATTGGGCTATAAGAGTGTTACTATAAAATATAGCAGCAATTTCCCTTTAAGTCTTCAAAGGGAAGACTTAAATTACATTGTAAATGTACTTACAATGTAAATATACTTGTTTTAATTCCACATTAAAAATGTCCATCCTTAAATTCATTCACATACTTTTTCAGTTTAGTATAGTATCAATTATATATCGAAAACTGTTTCCTCCTGGTTTATTAGTGATACTTTATAGGCATCATATGCATTTTGAGTTAAATGTTTACCTTCAGCCTAACTTGATGATTCTCTGAGAGAGACAGAGATAGACAGAGATATCTGAGTAGCAATAGGGTAAAGAGCCTGCTCAAAAAATCTTCCTCACCCAAATCTAGGATAGCAATAAATGAGGTTTCCTGGGTTCAATAGCCAAGTTTATGAGTTGATATTTTTGCACACTGAGAAAATCTTCTTCCATATAATGGAGCCCAAGGAAACCTGGAAAGCATCTAGATACCTGTGATTGTCTTCTGAGCCATTGCTTGCAAAGGATTCTTAGTTGAGTTTGCCAGACTTAATGCTTTCTTTCACAACCTATTTGGGTTCCAGAACTTGTGTTTTGATATTTGTTAGGAGACAAAAGTGCAAGAAGCTGGTTTGATTGACTCTTCCACCATTTAAAACTTGAGATTGTTTGCGGTGGCTTAATGAGCATCCCATCACAGAGTCAACTACTTCCCATGCCTTTAAATTTATTTTTGAGCTCTTTGGAGGATGTGTGATCAGTGAAGTAGTTAATGAGTTGATCCAACTCCAAAGAACACCTTGAAAATTAAAGTGTAATTAAGTTTTTATTCCTATGTTGGCTGAGGAGTAAATGTTATTATTGATGTTTTTCCAAAATCATGTGTCAGTCTCACAACATAGAATATATATATATATAGTTGTTACAAAAAACACCCTGGCATCTAAGCTACAATATACTGTTACAAAAAGAGAAAATTTCAGAGTGTATTTTTGAAAGTGTAAGGGCGTGTAAGAAATGCTCCACTTGAAGAGAAATTAGGTCAATGATTTTGTTTGGGGTTTAGTCAGAAATCAATCCAGTTTCACACTTTCTCTGAGAGAAATGCTTATTAAATATAATAATGCTTATTAATATACTAGACCACAGGAATCAGCTTCCCACAAGGGCAGTACTTTCTAGAGTCTCAATGAATCAAGTATCAAATTGTCAAAAGTCATTTTTATTCCATTTCAGTACACTTTTGTATATTGATTTGGAATGGTCAGTTTGCAATTAGTCTTATGGGGCCCGCCCAAGGACAGCAAAATGCTTAGGAAAAAAACAGTATTAAAAATAAAACCTAAACCTTTTATATTTTTGTTCAAAAGAAAATTTATAAAAGTTATAACAGGCACTGTTTTAGAGAAATATTTTTTAACTTTATTGTTGGCATTATTATAGATATCCCCATTACCCCCCAACTTTGCCCACCTCCACCCAGCCCCTGCCCTCCTTGCCTCTGCCATCACCACACTGTTGTCTGTGTCTATGGGTTGTGGATAGATGTCCTTCATCCAGTCCCTTCACCTTTTTTCATCCAGCCTTCCCCTCCCCGCCGACAGCTGTCGGTCTGTTTCATGTTTCCATGCCTCTGTTTCTGTTTTGTCAGTCTATTTTGTTCATTAGATTCCACATATGAGTGAGACCATATGGTATTTGTCTTTCTCTGGCTGGCTTATTTCACTTAGTATAATAATCTCCGTGTCCATCCATGCAACAATAGGCACATTTTTAAAAACATAATTCTTAGTTCAAAATGTATTTTCTGTATTAAGGCTCATGACACATTCAAGTCTTACATTTTTCCTTGCACTCTGTGAGGGTCTAACCCAATATTTGTTGATGACCTCATTTTCACATATATGGACTAGCACATGAAATTCTAAGGAGATAGTTTCAGCTGATGTCCACCAAATAAGACTAATAAGGTATATCGAGAAGAGCCAATGAAGTTGGACTTGGTGAGAGTGTATTCCTTAGGCTAAACAACTTTCCTTAAACCAAAAACAAAAATAAAATATAAACCATTTCAAAGATACATTTTGTGTAAGTATTTGTGAGATAGACTCACTAACTCAATCACTATGAAAATAACAAACTCAATACAACCAGGCTGGAGATGAAATTAAAATATAATGGAGCAGGAGAGGAAGTCAGAAAGATTGGAAGCATGAAAAGAACTGGATATGCTGAGGCTTTTCTTAGTTAAAATTTTATTCCCAGTTGGATAGTGAATGTCCTCTTTTACATGGCAAGCTATGAGAGAAATCAAATGAGAACAAATAAAATGTAACTAATTTTCAACCATAATTAAAATGATTAAAAGGAAAAAATTATAGTGGATGTTTTGAAATTTAATATTAGGAGCTAAAATGCTTCTAATATTACAGACCTCAAGGAAGACACAAGACTGTACCTGTACCTTTACAGCTAGTTTTAAGATCTCTCAATTCAATGCAAAGTTGGCATTTAAAATATTAGTAGCTTAAAAACCTACCTATACTGCTAAAAACATCAGGTATTAGGAAAGACAAAGCAAAAAGAACTCTTCCACATTGCTACAGGCAGCATAAATTAGCACAACCCTTTTGTGAATAACTTACTAATGCCAAGTGAAGTCGAAGTCTGTACTGTAAGGCTGACCAACTCCACTCCTAAGTATCTACCTTGGAGAAGCATATGTGCTCAAGGACACACATGGGCCAGAAAGTTTATAGTAGAATTGTTTGGAAGAGTGACATATTTGGAGACAATATGAATGGCCATGGATGCTAGAAGAGGTAACTAGATTATGGAATATCATATAATAAAATACTAGGTAGAAATGAAAATGAGTGATCTAGAGCCACCTGTATCAACATCAGTGAATTTCACAAGAAACAAATTGCAGGATAGGTACAATATGACCTCATTTGTAAAGTTTTCAAGTATGCAAAACAAAATGTATAATGGACAATTTAGAGTAAAGGTATATGGGTAGGCTAGATAGTGATGAATACCACATTAAGGATGGTGGCTACCTCTGAACGTAGGTGGGCGGAAGAGAAGGAATGGATGAGTGTTGGTGCTTAAGACTTCATGACATTATTCTCTGTACATTTTTATATGTCTGAAACATTTCACACTAAAAAATTCTCACTTTAATTCAGTACTGGAAAAGTAAAGTATAATACCATGTGCCCCGATGACTGAAGTGTACTAAAACTGTGTGACATCTTACCTTCCATGCATGCCTGTAGGACTTTCTTTTTTATCTTACATGCTGGTGAAAATAACAGTTAAGAACTCTTTCCCACAGTCTTTATAAATAAATTACAAATTGCTATGAACTAATGTACCTGCAAAAAACTACCATACAATAAAGCTCTGTTGACTTAATGTGTGAATGTGTTGTATAGGAGAAATATTTGCACTTAAGAAATATTATGTTTTGCTCTGACCAGTGTGGTTCAATGGATTGGTTGAGTGTCGCCCCACAAAGTGATAGGTCACTAGTTCGATTCTAGTCAGGGCACATGCCTGGGTTGCCAGTTGGGTCCACAGTTGGGGTGTGTCTGAGAGGCAACCACACATTGATGATTCTCTCCCTCTCTCCCTTCCTCACTCTCTCTAAAATAAATAAATAATTTATCTTTAAATATTTTAAAGAAGAAATGTTTTATTTTACAGCATAAAATAATGACTCATTGCCATCTGAGAACAACTTTAAAGGTCTGATTTTTTCAGTATTTCTAGCTCATGAACATTTAGCTTCCTTAAACAACTTTACATTTTAATTTATAGTGTATTTAGTGCTCACTCATAGCAATAATTGATTAGAAGATTGAAAATTATGAACATTTAGTCAAATATTTAGAATGTATCCATTTAGTATGTTTGTAAATGTTAAACAACTGAATGTCTTAAAAATATGTATTTGTAGTATTTGTCAATATCTATGGTGTAAATATCTCTACAATGGTGGATTTCAAGCTACTGACCTGAAATCTCTGAACTGGGAGTTGGAAAGAAATGTACAAAATTGGCATTTAGGAGTTGGTACAAGCCAGTCCCAGCACACCACTGATTCTGTCTTATGAAACAGATACAGTGCTAGGCCCATAGTAAGCATTCAGCAAAATTCCATTTTGGACTGTGGTAAGACTTTTGAATTTTAACTCAGCATTAGGTAATGTGTGGTTATCCTCTTAGCACGTTAGCCAAATTTACATTTTCTAAACAAATGATGCAGAGATTCTAATCTTAAAGCATCATTGTGTAGAACTCTAGAAACAGCACCTGGAAGAGGCTATGGACAGTGAAAAACATGTGAGGTGTATTGAGAGAAATCCAATCCCTGTGACCAAGGATGACAACTTAATTCAGATATAAAACCTGAAGATCCAAATAAAACCCAACAGCTGA